CTCTCTCTCTCTCTCTCTCTCTCTCTCTCTCTCTCTCTCTCTCTCTCTCTCTTTACGAGTCGATAATAGGAAAACGTTCGTATTTAGCGAACGGAATGAAGTATATGTGCTTGCATGCCGCGATATGTACACAGGAAACGCGTCAGTGTAACGGAAATCTACGGGGAGGAAAAGCAAGCATATGGACTTCTCTCCTCTAGAAGAGATAAAAGGTTGACGGTTGAGTTAGAGGAGTTTGATATCCGCGATTTATATGTACAAATGGGATTAATAACTTCGTGAGAGACATAAAGGAGACTCTACGGAGGGAAATAAAAGAGAAACGGGGATTTTTTCCGTATAAAAAAAAAAGAGAAATATGAAAGAGATAGTCTTGGTATTACACGGTTTCAGCCCAATTACTGAACGGTTATATTAGCTTTTGTTTAATAACTGAAGAGTAAAACTACTTTGGATCTAAATCATCTAATGCTTCTCCTGCAGTTGCTGCGCACAAAAGATACGCAAAAACTGAAGACGTTTACTGAACCGAGAACAGAACAGAAAATAGAGAAAAAACTATACAATTGATTAATCATCAAGTCTGCTGCTCATAAAATGGGCAGGTTTGCTATAGTAGTATTTCATTTTCTGTACATTTTCTAATTAAAAAATTTTAATTCTCATTAATAATTCTCATCGAAGCAATGTAATTCTGTATTAACATATACCTTATTTGTCTCTAGCTCACTTTCATTTCTAACCTTGGTTATCATCTCTGTTAGAGCTTAATACTGTCAAATGCTTTATTTCCTCTAATTTCCTTTTTCTAGCTCTACGTCTTTCTACACGTTCGCGCAATTTTAAGCTCTTTTTTTTAACAATATAAATAAGCATGTTTTCACGGTAGATATTGTAATGCGTGCACATTCTAAAATTGAATTAATATTATTGACACTATATTCTGGAAAAGATCAGCTCACGTGTTGTACAGTAAACTGCTTTTACCAAATAAACTCAAGTTCTTGTCAAGTCTTTATGCAGTATTTTTATAACTAATAAGAATATATTAATGCTAGATAATAACTGGGCAAATGTCTACCCAAACTGCATACATTTCTATCAGATCGAACTTCACGACGCAAGCGAATTTTCTTGTTTGTGTCGTTACAGAAATACATTCATGCATTTCTTGAAAATCATTAACATTTATACATTCGTTATATCAAACCCGTAAAACTTGATAACTAGAATGCAGATTGGTTTGCTACGCGCTTCAAGGTTACTTCTGTATGAAGCGATGACGTAAAGTCATGCCTCGTAACCTTTCTTCTCTGTCGAATCGCCGTTTTTAAAAAGGAGACAAGTTCGTCAGTACTTCTTTAGGGAAACTCGCAGAAGATCGCGTTCATCGTACGAGCAGGGCACGAAAAGGGAAGGGCATCTGGTCACATCGGCCGTATACATCAACGTCTTACACGAATTACGTGCGTAAAACAGATAGTTTACACTGCTCCGAATACACGAGAACTATTTTTATCCGGACGTATATAATCATCGCGCGTTGATTTACGCGGGCGCAAAGTTTCCACACAGCGAGCATACACGATACGTGCGTGCGATTGTCGTTTTTTGCGTGGACTTGATGTCAGTGGCGCACCGGTCAAAAGTAGACCTGCACCCTCCTACGAATCAGCTATTCAATTGAGAGGCAGCGGTGCGACGCGCGAGCGTGCTGGGACAGATTTCACGATCGATGAGAATTACTCATTCAAGCCGTTGCACGACCGAACACCCAATTCCGCCCCATCAACCCCCACCCCGCCCTTACTCACGGAACTGCACCCCTCGGACGGTGGGCTCCGGCAGGAGAAATTGCGACGGGAGAACTTGCCTCCCAAGCACGCTCTATAGAAATGGTAAATACGCTGCGCGCCGAATAATTGTCTGATTTTACGGCGTGATTCCCGGCGTTCGTGTGATCCCAATGGCGCGCGCTTCGGACCTGTTGAGAGAACTCATGAGACGTCGTGAAAGAGAAAGAGACTCCAGCATCCGAGTGATCTTATGTGCGCTCGACTAAATGAAGAAACCAGGAAGTGTGTTAAATTATATTAACTCAAGTATGTCAATTACTCGTGAAGACTGCACTAATGTCTCTCACACTGGTACTTACATTTCTAGACAACACATAAAACTAAAAGATAGTAAAAACATGTCTTTTTGTAGTCATCCTTACAGTTAGACGAAGAAATGCCTAAAATATATCTTTTCAATAAGATACAAAGATACCTAAAAGGCATATTTTCGATCATACAAAAAGTCGACTCTCCCTTTTTTTAACTAGACGAAAAATGGATTGAAAGATATCTTACATGAAAAATACTATGAATAGTGCTATGTAATGAATATTGATTGAATTTCTTTCAGTGCTAGAATCTCACTTCATAGTCTTTCACACAATTTAAAAGTGGTGATTTTAGTCCGATAGACAAACACCCTCGAAGGCCCTCGAAAGTGCGACAATAATGATTAGTAGTAACTTCGCGCTGAGAATTCGGGACAAACGTAAAGAGCTTGCAGAACAGAGTTGGGAGTAACGCAGCAAACCATTTCCAAACTATATGAGATGGGAAAGATTCAAAAAGAAGGATTCCATATAAACTCACCGAAGCCAACAAAAATCAGCAAGTGACAGCGTATCTCTCTCTTCTCAATAAGCAGCGTAGAAAACGTTTTTTATGAAAAATCGTTACGGGTCTTGAAAAATAGACTCTATGACAATCCGAAACGCAAAAAGTCGTAAGTAAATTCTGGTGAAACATCAACATTGGTTGCAAAGCCAAAATTCATTGGAAGAAAAGTTCTACTCTGCATTTGGTGGGACATTAAGGACGTGATTTATTATGAGCTGTTGGAACCGGCTGAAACAGTTACTGCGGATTGTTACCAACGCCGGTTAATCCACTTAAGTTAGGAATTGGAAAGAAAACGTTCGTATACTGGCAAAGGAAAGCAATTCCTATGGAATTGCTGTATGACATCGTCAGGCCACACATTGCTTCTAAGCAAAAGACACCATAATGAATCTTGCAGTACGCGGCGTATTCATCAGACATAGCTCCTTCCGATTATCATTTCCGTGATATCCAGTCGGTATACTTTATCTGATACTCGCTTTCAATTAGTGAATGAGATCCGAAAATAACTTGACGACTTCGTCGTGTCCAAAGACACAATATTTTTCCGAGATGAAATGAATAAGCTGCCTGAAAGATGGTTTAAAGTTATAGAAAGCAACGGCGAATACTTTGACTGGAAAAAATACATACTTTTCTAAAAATAAACTCTGTACATACATACTTTTCTATAAATAAACTCTGTATTGAAAATCTATCATCTTTTAGTCCTCTTTTAGGCACTTGTGTGCTGTCTGGGTTGCGACTATGATTACAATGCGATTTAGTTGTTGAAAGCTGGTCATCCCCGCTCAAAAGTACGAGCGCGCTTGCTTTCTGTGATCAATTGTACGAAGTTTAAAACGAAGAGTTTGAATTGTCTTATCAGTCGGAGTTTTCATTGAAATCTTACGAAGTTGTTTATAATTAAGCGGAACAATACGGCGACTTCTTCCTGCTGTGCTTACACTCTTATGTAAATTCGCGCATGACCGACACCGCACCGCCGACGCGATTAAAAGTTTCGTCGCGAAATAAGTATAAGAAACTTTCGCGAAGTCGTACGTAAGAGAGCGGTCGGTAGACGCGACGGTACTTTTCCAATAACCGATTTCACCCATTCCATGAAGTTTCGCGGCACAATGGCTGTGCCGTTGCAGAACAAAGCCGCTATTGATATCGTGATTTTTAGTGTACAAAGAACTTCCCCTGGATTTCTGGCGTTTTCTGGATTTCCATACGAAAGCGGTAGATTCGGTCAGCAATCCAAGTATTTTCGACACATATTTCCTGTGTCGTGAGCTGCGTGCGTCGAAACGTATTTCCTGTGTTGTGAGCTTTGAATTGGAAATTTGTTTTACAATGTCCCTGAATGTGAAAATTATCACGATTAAAAAAAATTACCAAGATTAAAAAATATAGGTTGCAGTTCCGAGGAGGTTCATTCTCAGATTCTCATGGAACTCATGATCAATATATTATCAAATTAGATAATATAACATTTACATTGATAACAACTGAACAATAAAACTGTCTTGCTGCATAAAATATTATGTTTGTCTTGTCTTATTAAACCGTGTGAATACTCTCGATTAATGGTAATTCGTGAAATCACATTGCCAGACGTAATAGCTATAAATTGATTGGCAGTTCAATCTTAATCTATTATTGTCACGATACTTGATTGCTATACCGTTAAAAAGCAACCGCTATAAAAAGCTGTTGGTTTAAGCGCAGCCTAAAAGTGCGAGTTTGATTCCGCCTCGTCACTCAGTTTTTCAGTCCGATCGTATATACACGGTGTCAATAACGTACGATCGATGCCACGCTGCATGCTGTTTATTTTCTCCGGAGGTAAAACGTACAGGATGCCCGCATGTATTTACCGCGAATAACGGAACCGCGGCGATGTCGGATCACGAGAAGGAAAAGAGAGGAGAGAAACGGAGGAAGAGCGGTAGGGAGCGATACGAGTCGAGAGAGAGAGAGAGAGAGAGAGAGAAAGAAAGAAAGAAAGAAAGATGGAAGAACGACGGATAGAAAGAACGAGCTTCGAGAAAACGAGGAACTCGTGTAGCAAAATCGGCCGAGATATTCGTGTATGATTTCACATCGATAGAAAATAAAATTTCCGCGTATTAACAAAAAAAATCAATATAAGAGATTCGGCGGAAGGAGACCAGTTCATTTAGGGAACATTTTGAGTCATTTTAACATTAGATTGTCAATATGGTAGTAGCAGTAGTAGTAGTTAAATCGTTACTGTCAATGTGAAGTCATTTTGACTCCCTTAATTGTTTTTCCATTTGTAATTTGCCTTAATGTTTTTAATAATTTTTTTAACAGAAGAAAAATAAAACAATACCAAATAGGCTGCGTTCCGAAATGCACTGCCAGTACTGAAAATCTATAGTTTATGTTACGTATATTATAGAATTTCAGTACTGGCAGTGAATTTCGGAACGCAGCCATAGTAGTTCAAAGTGTAGGTTAACATAACTAACTTTCAACAATTTCTAAGGTTAAGATATCTTTTCAATCAAGACAATTCTCATAATCTCTCATACTTTACTTTCTCTCCTTACTATTAATTATCATAAACTATTATTGTAAACTATTATTGGTAACGTTTTCTATCACCTCTAATTATTTTACTGCAAATTGTATCCGCGTTTATCATTTATTCCACACAAAATTAACTTGCTATATTATTTTTAATTTTTATTTTAAGCTCTGCCCTCCCCTGTATTGTATACGAGTGTTTGAGGCGGTCTCACTCCATAGATTTAATAAATTTATCTATTTATCTATACTTTTATTTCTCACAGCAAGCAATTCGTGTATGTTAAAACTCTGTACCGTAACTATTTAACGCGCAATCTGCCCACGCCAGAGGAGATTGTCTAGGAACAATCCAGGAAAACTTGTTGCGTATGTTCGCAGGTATGCTCGTTCAGACGTGTATGCACTTTTAAATTGTGGTAAGTGCACCGTCGCGTCAGTGCAGCCGGCCCTACGGGCGAGCGCTTAGGTCGCGAGGCGAACGCTCGCGTTACGCGCGGAGTGACACGAGCGTTACTCTTGCCCGTTGGCATAATGGCACGCTGCACGTACACGTGCGTATGTATTAGAGCGGGAAGATCTTGCCATGATAAGGCGGCGTGTAGAAGTCCTACGAACTGGTTCGCAACAGTGCGCGTCACCGGTCGACTCGTCCGAAGAGACGTTTCCTGGTGGTGACGATACTCGAATTGACCCCGGGTTCGTTGCTCTTAAAATCAATCAGTAAAGGTGTTTTCTGGAAGGTTGGAAAGAACTAACTCACCGATGATCGGTGAATATTGATTTTCAGTGAAAACATCCTCACTTTGCTACTTCATCTTATTTCTCACGGATTTTGATCAGTGGAAGTAAGATTTCACTACAAAACCGATGTGACAAACAAATTCGTTATACCAAATCCGAGTTTCTGCGTTTGTAATGACAGAATTAACGGCTTCCGTACGTCTTGCGTGCAACCACACTGTCTGTGTTCGCGAAGTGCATCAATAATAGGAACAGTCACTGCTATTAGCTGATCCAATCAGCAGGATTTTACTGACTGCAGTGCTATACTTGTAATTGAATCACCAGTTATAAATATAGCATTTCAGTGAAGAATACTGATTGTACTTTAGAGAGTGTGTGTGTGCTCAATACTTCATTCGCGTATTACTCCCCGCGCAAATTGTAAACGTTCGTAATTTATGGGGAAAAGAAAAGAAAAAAGAGAGGAAGACAAGAATATACGCTGCACACGATACACCAAGTGCATCGTGGCTGAAGATCGATTGTCGGCCAAAAAGAAAAAGGTAGAAAAAAGAAAAAGGAATGGTACTCTTACCTTAATCGTACCACGTCACTCTGCTCCCCCAATTATGTTCAAGGAAAATGTTAACGATCCTTCGGACGTTCCGTTTTCGTCGATGGAACCGGATGGTACGTGCTCGCCGATCGATATCAAACTCGAGGGCGATCCTGCTGTATTCACTCTCCTATCACATGTTTAGCATCGAATGTACCCGAAATGCATGCCCTAGGTCGTTTCGCTTCGTAACTAACAAACATTTGCTACGAGAACGCTTCGTTACGAGAAGAAATACGACGTATTTCTAGTCCGACGAGGACGAAGATTCCACTTTCTACGAAGCTCGACGAAACCTCGTGCTATATTTCAATTTATTCAATTAACGGTAATAAAACCTTTTTGGTATACTTTTTGATTTTGATATACAAGATTACAGGACAGAGGGAAATATAAAAAAATAATTAACAAATCCATTCACAAATACATATCCGCAAATTAACGAAAATGAAAAAATTAGGATGTGAATTAGGGTCTATTTAAAAAAGATAACAGGATAATCATTGAACAGACCAATAGAGTTTGAGTAGTTGTTTATCAGTATACATACCCGATTAGGATATGTTTACAGGATATTATTGTGATATAAGCAATTCGTGTAGTTATATGTGTTTTTATTATTACGTGAAGTTATAAATGCAGAAGTTTTAAAGCCGAAGAGAGAAGTTTGATGTATTATTAGAATTAATGTCACACTATACAATGAAAATATGTATGCAGTTTTGATGCATATGTAACTCCACACCAAAAATAAATTATGTAAAAGATATGATTCATGAAACTGACTAACAGGCAAGTTAAAACTCCGCATATTTTCAACAAAGAAATCGAATTCTATTCTTTACTTTTTCAAGTTTTAGGGAGGATTTCATATAATAAAGTGTTTCACACATTGAACTATCCACTAGACATATTATTGCACTAGTAGTTTTAAGATTTTCCGCTAATGTCTCGGGTAATGATTTCCATAATGTGCGAAGCTGATACGACAACTGTTTCAAGGTGAAAACTCGTTTTCCCCAAAGCTTCATTTTCATGGTTGTCCATATATTTTCAATAGGATTAGCGTTGAAAGACTACACAGGTCTGCACAGACTGCTAGGTGGAAACCTATTACAACGCTGGCGCTGCATCACTAGAATTTTCTCAATAGAAAATGCTATAAGACAATGTAACTTCATGCATTAGACTATTATGCCTGTCTGTGCATACATATAAGTATCGTGTTACGCATGTTGCGTCATAAATTTGCCGTGAGCGATGTTCTTATTGCTTCCGCGAGAGAGCGATTCCCCTGGGAACCGCTTTGCAGAAGAGGATTCACTCGGCCGCCCGGCGCTCGCGGAAACGATTAGCGCGCATATAGTGGTGCAACGATCCATCATCCATCGTGGGTCACGAGAGGCGAGTGACCACCACCATCACCACCAGCAGCACCGGGCAGGAAGAAACCGCGTCAGGTAATCGCACGGCGTCCTAGCAACGTCCAGCTTTCCGCACACTCGTGACGCTTTTTGTCGGCGGATTCGTTTTGTCCGCCGTGCGTTCTCCGTCTCCGCGCTGAGGCGAGCACGCGCATCACTCAATCCTTAATAAACGGACTCTCTCTCTCTCTCTCTTTCTCGATCGATTCCCGCGGATCCGCGACTCGCCAGCATCGTCAGGTGCTTGCTCGTGAGCTGACGTTCATTTCGTGAAAATTCAGCGCGTTGCAACATGGGACGTCACTACGTCGCGTACCACGCATTCGACGCTTTGTGACACTTCATCCCGCGGCAATGTTGATACTTCCGCGCTATGAACGTCGATTAAGCAGACATTATGATCGGCGATCGCGCTGATGGAGCCCCGGTGTTACGCAGTTACGTTCTTTCGACGATACGATCTCGTTTCAATGCCGAGACCGACCGACGACGACACAACACGCAAAACGTCAATAAGATCCACTTACATACTCGGTATTGGCATACGGATTCTTATCGGCCGAAGGTGATCGTCGTCGGAGCGAGAACCGTCTCAACACTTGGCGCACCGCTCGAGGGATTCAATGAACGTACGGCCGAGTTTCGGGAAACCGCGGCCCGAACTGGTCGAAATTTCCGGAGGATGCCGACCGTTAATAACAATTGGCTCTGATTTCAGCGGAGAAACAGGTCATGTAGATTCGAGTGGAATGAGAGAGCCAGAGAAAGAGAGAGAGAATCAGCGGCACGACACGATAGGACGAGACTTCGCTGGGTTGCTTCGATCGCGTTATCAGAGCTGCATATTTGAGAGAATACTACCACTGCTATCCCCCTCTCCTCGGGAGAGCGAAACTTGCCTCGCTGCCTAGTTTGCTCGAAAATGAAGCTCCGAACAGCTCCATCGACAGGTGTGCGTTGACCCCTCGAAATCCTGTGCTTCACTCGCGGCGGAATCGCGCGATTCCACGATCGATGTGCAACAGTTCCGAGTGCGTGTACGTGTATAACGACATCGAGAAACGAGAAGTACAAAATCACGCAATACGCGGTTTCTCTCTCGACGCGAGCTTCCCACAAATCTATCGAATATCGTCAGATTTCACACACAATCGGCTGAAAGACAGAGTTAGCGCCAGTTCATATTTAACGCGGCCAAAGTGTCCCACGAATCGCGGTTACGCCGATCATTCAATTGCGATCGACTGTTCGCTTTCATTTTCTAGATCGTAACTGCGGCCGTGTCGCGCATGCAGGGAAGGCAGATTGGTTAATCAGAATTAATGGTAACCCACATCGTGCGGGACGAGCCCTTGGGACCAGTTGCACTTCGATCGCATCTCGCTCAAGCGATTCTTCCCAGAGAGAAGAGGTCCCCACCCGGCGAGATCATTCTCGGGACGACGAGCACTAACAACATGCTGTCGCGCATACGTGGGGACACGGGAAACAACGACGAAATTGTCGACGGACGTAACGCTAACCCACATTGTGCAGTGCGAGCGCAACCCCCTTCCCTCTGCCGAGGTCATTGAGGTGCAACCAACTCGGGAGGCGGTCGCGCGCGCGATCCCTTCGCATCCCTTGCGAATCCGTGCGATTTACTTACTTGTCGGCAGCAACGGCGATGCGTGTGCGTGTGCACGCTGGGAATAGTCGATTGTGGTCGGGAAGAGAGCGATGTCACAGTAAATAGTCACGATGCCGTACCACACAACTGGGTAAACGCGCGCACCGCGATGGCATGCTACAGTGACTCCAGCACGAAGTCCAGCGAGCGACTGTTGCGTCCCGGTGGTTTGCCCCGTGCCATGGGCCACGGCTCGGCTCGGCTCGGCGCGGCACGGCGCAGCTCGGCACGGCGTCGATGCGAGCGTTCCCCGTGTACGTACAGTTACTCCCATTAATATTCGGAGATCTCGCGCCACTTCGACGTTCGTGTTTATCGCTTCATGACGAATTGCCTCGAAACGGTAATAATTCTCTCATGCGATGTCGCGCATTAAAATACTTATTTGTCCTGATCTGTGGTATTATTATTCTAATTTCCTCCTAGGTTAGAGAATACTTCCCCCCTAGAATGTTTCACTACAAAATACATTTCCAACGACATGAAGCAGTTTTTATGTCACATAACAGTCAGTGGCACAAGAACGTGTATGCAATAATTTCAACAGTTGGTATCTAGTATGCAACATTTTCATGCGACAAGGTTGGTAATACGTTAAGTTAAAATGTTTTGAAAGCTATGTCTCAGCTTCATTAGTGCCTACACGATAGTCGTACGAAGTGCGGAAGCCGGACATGTACGGAATGGGAACGTGAAAACGGCATCATTGCAATGGATTAGCATTGACAGTATTCTAACGCTAGTTCAATTGAGAATATATAGACAACCATGAAGATAAAGCTTCCGGAAAAACGAGTTTTCACTTTGAAACAATTGTCATATCAGCTTCGCACAATATGGAAGTCGTGACCCGAGATAGTAGCGGGAAATCTCGTTGAGAGTATACCTCAACGCTGCCAAGCATACTCAACAATGGAAGAAACTGGACGCTGTACTAAATAAACGCATTTTAGTATATACAATGTAGATAGATAGTTAAAATAAGTTAAAATAAAACATATATAATTTAAATAAGCATAGATACTCAGATAGCACAGAAAATTCAAAAAGAATTCAGTCATATGTTACCAATTCTGAGTTCATTTTTAGGTGCAAAAAGAATTCTTTTCACTGAACTGAACTCTGAAGAATTCTTTTTACATTTGAAAATGAACTCAGAATTGGTGACACAACTGAATTTTTTTCTAATTTTTTTTAAATTCTCTGTACTATCTGGATAGTTTAAATAAGTAATTTAAGTATAAAATCGTAGCAGTATACATGAAAGAAATATAGTATTTTCATAAATTCTTTTCACAAATTTTATTATGCATATTTTATGCATTGCATATTTATGCAATTTTACTACACATATGAAAAAAGAAAGGATTATAAATTATTATAGAATGTCTATTTCTCGGTTATCAAATTCTATAATAATATTTACTATAAAATTCTTTCCATATAAATAATTAAGATAAAAAGATTCGTTTATTATGTTTCAAATAATTTTTCAGGGTAAAGTAACGACTTTAGAAGTAAATGCACGAGTGTTTATAGAAATAACTGTATGTATATATGTATACACTTCGTCTCTAGCTTCGCGCACTTTTCTCGCTCGTGTCTGTGACGTTCCTCCTCTCTCGCAGGAGCTTCTCCTTGTCGTGATGTTTTGCGCGAATCGTTACAACGTCCCGGGTCTGAGAGTCACTGAACCCCTTTGCATCAGTCCTCCAATTACTTATATCCCTGATGTCCTCAATCAAATATATAACTTCCCTCGATTTACGATATGTAATCATGATCTCTTGGTCATATCGGTCAAGTGTCCTGGTTTCTCCAGAGACACTCCCAGCTGTGATATAATTTGACTGAAATCAATACTAATTAATAGCGATTTCTATTCTGATCGATTTTCTATTTCATCTTAAATTATAATGTTTTGGATAACAATGGACACTTCTGTTTGCTAAATGCGATTAATGCCGATTAATATTGATATAATCGAGCTATAGCAGGATCACTGCGAAAGCAGACGCTCGGAATGTAAAAAAAAAAAAATAAGAAACAATATGTGAGAGACTACAATCTACCAGACCATAACTAATAATATCTTTCAAGCGAAGGGAAGTAAGAAGCATCGCGTGTTTAAACCTTGCAGATCGTTCATTAATGTTTTCTCACTATCATCCATATGCTAGACGATATACGTCTATCCATCTGCTTTTTTAATCTCCTACCTTTTCTTGATCGTAAATTACAATTACATTATAACGACCGAGGATGCTAGCGGTGAGAAAGTGTAAAGGCATGTGTCGCACAGTCTCTCAAAGTTATGTGGAAAAAGTACGTTATTTTTATACTGTCGCCCGATTGGATTTTCCTGGCGCGGAGGGAACGCTCGTTAACCCCTTCGATATACTTACATTGGCATGATGGCAACCCGATACGTGCGAATATATTCGCAATTTCTAAGAAAATCAATTATGTCGGAACGAATCGGCGGAAAAAATATTGAATAAAATTAAATTCGGATTTCTCTATTTTTCAAATTATTAAAAACGAATTACAAATTTTTAGATTTTCTAATATCAATATAGAACTGACTAGTTATCAGACATAAGCAATCGCAATATCAGTGACGATAATTTAATCGAAATAAGTAACGTGTCGTGGAATTTGCATTTACGTAGCATTATGCGTTATCGAGATAACGCTCCAAAAGTTATAATAGATTAAACGAGGCAGCATGTGGCATTGAGATCTTTCTCTCTCCCCCCCCCCCTCTCTCTCTCTCTCTCTTCTCTTTCGTGACAAGAGATCTACAGAACGCAGATCGATACGAACATCAGTTTAGCTTTATTCAGAGTAGAGATACGAATTACGGATATTTTGCGAAGCCAATGTGAACAACATACCACTTTTGCACCCCACTTGATTAATTAATCTTACATGATTACGCCTTAGTCAGATGCAAGAAAAACTCAACTTCCCAACGAATCCTATTCGAAGTCTCTCTGAAATCTAGAAGTGAGGATATTAATATTAGTTTCTGATGAAAAGCGTTTTTGTGCTGCTTTAACGCAGTTGGAATCTGGCCAACTCGCTTAAAATTTAGAGATTATGACTTCAGGTAGCAGTGGAAAATGTTTTCAGTTGAAAATTACGCCACACAATCTAAAAACATAAAAGAGTAAAAGCTTATACCTGTTGTGAACCTGAGCAGAAGGTAAAAGATCATAGAAATTAAGCAAACGTTCGGCGCACTAAGTAAAGGATGGATGACACAAAATCTGAAACCACGCGGAGCCACACATATGAATGCAGCAACGTAAAAAATATGAAGTTTCAAATTTTTTAATATTTAAACGAAATAATATCAACATTAGATTTTATGGATTATTCAAATAGATAAATTTCAACAAATTTATCTTTAAATGTTTATAACGTAAATTGAAAACATTTTCTCAAATATTTATGAAAATTATTTTCATATATTTATTATAATTTTTTTAATATATCAATCTTTATTTTATAAAGAAAAATATTTTAAAAACATTTTATAGATATTTTGTCCTGTCTGAGAGGTAATTCAAAAAGAATAATATTATCGATCATTTTTAGTTATTGGATATAAATATTTGAACATTCAGTGTGTAATGGAGTATTAATTTACAATAATTTATAACTAGCTCAATATTTATTATGTGTGCGTATGTATGCAAACTTACAATAAAATATATTAGATATTTTTATGAAACTGTACACATTTCTAGTTTTATGTTGAGATTTTATGCAAATTTATCGACAAATTTACCTACAGAAGATTATTAAATAGCGAAATTTTCTATTACACTAAGGGCCGATTGTTCCAACTTCTTCGTAAGCTACCTGAGAGTTAAATCATATGTCTATCTTCGTTTTTCTTCAAATTGGATAGAGACAGACACATGATTTAATTGTCAGATAGCTTACCAAGAAGTTGAAACAATCGGCCCTAAGGTTCAGTTCCAAAAGTTTAATCGTAAATTGGGGAACTTATTCTCGAAAAATATCGTATACGATATTTGTCGAAAATAAGGCCCTCTGGGCCTAAATCCTATAAGGTCAACTTTAGTCTTTAATTATCTCGTCGGTGGCTCGACTATTCGAGGGCGCTCGACCAATGGCGAAGTGCGCGTGCGCGCATGAGCCAAACGAATTAGGATCGACACGCCGCAACAGCGCTATTGCTTCTCTCGACGATATCGCTTCTCTCGACAGTTAGTGCTAGTTAGTCAGATTGATTGTGCATATGCCACCATGGATTCTTTGGCAAATTACGCCAGTGACGGCGACAACAGTAACAACTCGGACGATGCGAAGGTGAGTAATCGTGAAGAACGAGCAAACTGCGTTCCTGACGACCCAGATGCACTCTCGTTCGTCACCATTCGGGACGCCTCAGAATAGCGATGTATACCGCTTCAACATGGCTCCTCTATGCGTACTTATTCGATGGATGTAATTCCGCAACTTTTGTGGATTCGTAGTATCGAAGACGCGCGTTGTTCATTCCGAAAAATATTTCTCTATCCCATCGAGATTTATGTTGTATGCAATTAATTCTTAGTAATGTTTATAGATCGTATAATGTACGAAAACAAAATGAAGATATAATTTGTCCCACTGTTTTTGTGACTAGTAAGTTGATTTGTGCTTCCTTCATATTTTATATCTTTGTCTATGCTCTCTTTTCAAGACACCTCTTCAAGAGCATGAAGAGACCAGCAGGAGGGCCAGTGATGCCAACTACGACCCAGTGCAAATGGATATGAGTGAGGTATGGCAAAAGCATACATCATGATCCTTACTTAGCATTAAGTACGAAACATTCGGACAAAGCCTAAGAAGATACCGCTGTGACTTTATGGGTGCTGTATGTACATGCAAAGTCTTAGGCCTGATACATAAAGGGACTAGTATCTGGTTTTGCAAGGTCATGTCAGTAAATAATCATCAATTGAAGTAATAAACAAATGCAGTCTGCAAGAGGCAGAGGCACTATGCTTATAGTATTGACAATATCTCTGATCCGATTATCACATGGCACACCGTTGAGTTTATCGGCGAATTGGAAGCTGGGTAAAATTGGCCTCCAGTATATTTGCAGTTAAGACAATGAATAAGACAAGACCTTGAAACCTTACCGAACGCGGGATATAATCAGGCTATCTCATTGACATAATTAAAATTTAAATAATAAGTAAATGGGAATAGTGCCATTTCGTGAGACAATATTAACACGTAGCTCTGTTGGTAATACATGATACAATATCTACGCATCTCGGCAAGGTCTATGCTGTGTGAGGGTCTTTCAAGACTACCCCCAAGTCCTATTCAGAAGATAGAGGTGAGTAGAGGAAGCTGGCAGAAGGTAACACTAACAAAACATCACCATCAAAAAGAAACCACAAGTACAAATATAGTCGGATGATACTAACTGCGGAAGCAGATTGACGTCAAGGGCCCTCATATTCCTCTCTCTCGCTCTCTCTCTTTCTTGCGACACACAGTTGTTTCGTATGTTGGTTCCACTTTACCTACTGGTAATTAACAATACAAACATGCAAAAGGGAAAATATCCAGCAGTCGGCATTCCATCAGTCTTTGGCATTCTAGTGCGGATATTATCGAATATTAAAGTGTATGGAGATTTGAAAGAAAACTAGTAAATGAATAATAATAAATAATTAATAAATTCCGTTATACTCGCCTTAATGTTTGATCAAATTCGGGCAAGAGTGCCGAAAAATAGCGAGTGCTGTCACGAGTGCCAGCTACTAGACGTTTTCCCTTATACATGATTTATGATAAAATCTAGCAACACGCGAAGATTTGCGTGTCGCCGGACTTTTGTATCAAGTACAACCAAGGATGCGAGAAAACGAATTTCCGATCTGTAGAGAGAAATTACTTGAGTACTTGATGTGTTACCTCTTAATGTTAGAGTGTTCTGTAAATTTGTGAAATACAAGCTCTTACGATGTATGTGCGATATTGTTTACTCTCGAGAAACTCAACTACTTTACGTGTTATTGAAGTTCTGTATCTTGAAATAGCTTTTGCGGTAGGAATTAAGAGCTATTTCTATACTTAGCGGAATATGCGAGGAAATCATATTGAAGTTGATAATTTTTCTCTTCTCTAGGAGAGCAATAACAACAATTCCTCCAGGGAATCCAGTAGCGAACGCGTGAACAGTCCCTCAGTAACGCAGTCTACCTTCACTTCAAGAACAGAGTCGTCTCGGTCCTTATCATCTCCGTCAGACCAGAGGTAGGCTGGTTTGCTAATAGATATGTATGTGATACAGGTGCTAGCAATATTTCTATAGAAATTTCGTAGAAAAAAAATCGTAGTATAATTTATTTTCTCTATAAAAATTACATCAAATTATACACCTGTTATATACATAATAATAATACGCATCTGTGTGGTATACCCCTGCAGAACGTAATCGTTTTACAGGCGAACCGATCATGAGAACCATACGAGCTCGAAAGACGACCATAAGCGAAGTGACCGAAGCGAACGTAGTAGTAGTAGTCGTCATGTATCCGACAAAGGAGGTCGCCGCTCATCGTACGATGACCGGAAACAACGTGATAGCAGTCATAGAGATAGCAGGGATTCGAAAAGAAGTCGAGACGACGATAGGAAATCACGAGACGATGACAAGCGAAAGTCAGTCGGATCGTCTAAGGATGAGAAGAGCGACGATAGAGAGAGAAGCGACAAGGATCATCATTACAGGGACGACAGGAGGGATCGCAATCGCGAGAGGGACCGACGCAGGGATCGTGACAGAGAGCGAGATCGACGGCATTCCAGAGACGACCGGTCGAAGGATCGACACCGAGACGAGCGTTCGAGTTATCACAAGGAGAAGGATCGTGCGCGGTCGAGGTCACGATCGAGGGATCGCGCGCCACCGCCATTCAGGACGATGAGTTACCGGGAGGAGAAAGGACGGAATAAGTTGGCGCAATTAGAGAAATTGGGAATAGAATTAAAGCCACCCGAGGGTGATTGTACAACGCTCGGTCTGCAGACCGAGCAGAACTATTACAATCCGCTGGCGACGGCAACACAGGGCAAGTACGCGGAGCAGATCCAGAAGAGGAAGCTGTTATGGGCAAATAAGGTGACACAATGACATTGAGTATAGTAACAGTGATTAGTATTGTTCAGTAATGCTCGCAATCTGTACTTGCAACTTTATTGCTGTATTTTCTTTGTAGTCAAAACAAGATGATGGTAATAGTACGTCAGCCACTGCTTCCACTGCCAATACGTGGATGGGTACAACTTTCACGCATGATCAAGATGGAAAGGTAACTGCGAAGTTTAAGCGTTTGATGGGTATAAAAGGCGATATGCCCAGTGTGCCGACGGTAGGAACCAAACCGGATATTCTAAAAAAACAGGAGGAGATGTTCAATAATATGGAACAACAATATGAAGTGGCTCGTGCTACAACTCATACTCAACGTGGTGTTGGGTTAGGTTACGCTACTGGTGGTTATCAATTTCCACGGTAAAGCGCGTAGAAATCTCCACTCCTCCGCACTACTCATTTAATACCGATATGTTGAGTGTAAGAAATGTAGTTACGTTCAACATAGGCGATCTGGTAGACTCGATTATTTCAACTGATAATGATTTATTTCTAAGCCATTCAAGTCATCCTACAAGGCGATAGTGAAATATAGTTAATTTAGTTTTCAAAGTTCACGATAAAATTTGTGTTTTTGTTGTAAGCACTAAAAATAAATTTATTAAGATTATCTAGAAAGCTCGAATACGTGCGCGTAGTTTACATTTATTACAGCGAAATCCAGTTCGCTTCAAATTTCAATTCCCCAATCAAGTCCGTGAATTTTACAACAATTTTAAAGCAACTTTTATTGCAGTATGATTTTGTAACTCGTTAACCTTCTGAGGACCGGCTTTTTTTTTATCGACTTTTTTATTTTAACAGTTAGAACTTTTTTATCAATATCATTGGGTCGAATGGGGAAGAAGCTGACACCGCCGTCGCGCCGATATATTGGCTTCTGGTCCTCCAAAGGTTAATGACTACGTTTATATAGCAATGTTAAGGGTCTGCAGGAGTCGTAAATCCTGAATTGCGTTTGGAGACCTCATGCGATGAAAGCGCGAAGCATTGCCATCTGTGTGTGTGTCCATACGTACGTCCTACATAAGTGCATTGTTTGCGCGAACGCATGACAGGAAAATTGGATCGAGCTGACAGCATTAAAGTGCAGCTCAACTTGGTATCTACACGGATAAAAAATATGCTTCACAGACGTTACGTTTGGCGACCAAACAATTTTTTATTTGCTCTTTGCATTATTATCGAGGTTGGTACAGAGCCCGATTTTGCAGTTGGCCTTTTATAAATTCATAACATTAAAATGTGAGCTCAATACTGCACCCGCGTCGAATATTTATTCAAATAATTTATTCGATATTTATTTCAATCTTTTTTCCCAAAAATCGCTCTGTACCGACCTGCGGACGTTTATCCTGATTACAAATATTGCAATTATGAAACCATTCTTTCTGCATTTTAGCCACAATTTTTTTTCTACGTTTGCATAGTTTGCGGCTTTCCGCCAGATGTCTCTAGTATAATTCCTGCAGACTTATTCTGGGGCCCTATTCCCTATGGGAATATAATAGGGCTCTAGGGGTCCTATTTTCTATCCACTCTAAAAAAAGGCATGTAAAAGTCGTTCTACATTAGTTGCAAGTCTCAAGGTCACAAGAAAATTGTCAATCACAGTTAACTCTTCTTTGGTCGTAAGAAGAATGATCGATTGTGATTGGTAAATTTTTTTACGATTTTGCGATTTGCAACTAATGTAGAAACCTAATGGCTTCTGCACACAGGACGCGGTAATGCTTGCCGCGCGACGGAAGTCTGCGCGACAGCCAATCAATATGTCGTTTTTCCGTAAAAGCTAGAAAGTTATTACGGAAAGCAGCATATTGATTGGCTGTTGCGCGTACTTCCGCCGCGCGGCAAGCGTTGCCGCATTCTGTGTGCAGGAGCCATAAGGTCTGGTTGCACCAACATTATTTTGGCTTTAAGCGAAACTTAAATATATATCTATCTTTATCTTTCTTTCTAAATAAATAAAGACAGACACATATTTATGCCTCGTTTAAAATAAAAACGTTGGTGCAACCGGACCTAATGGTTCTTGCACACAGGACGCGGTAATGCTTGCCGCGCGGAAGTTCGCGCGACAGCCAATCAATATGCTGCTTTCCGTAATAACCTTCTAGCTCTTACGGAAAAACAACATATTGATTGACTGTTACGCGATCTTCCGCCGCGTGGCAAGCATTATCGCGTCCTGTGTGCAGGAGCCATAAAAGATTTAATTGTTGTCGCTTTTCCGCGATGCTGATTGGTTCTCTCGCTTAACTCATTTCATGTGGGCTGCGGCTTACTTCGTGTCGTTTGCGCTTGTCAAATTATCAGACAAATAATGGTGCGATCACATGGAACGGAACGTATGCGGAATGGGCGGAACGCTCGTGATTGGCTCAACCTGTTTTACGTTTGTTCCGTCTAAGTCGATCCGCAAGTTTATATTCTATCTGCATGGATTGGACGGAATTACTTATAACCTATAAGGGTGAGTTCAGATTCCCTTCCCGGGTGCACTCTGTTACTAGAAACACTATAGTATATGTTACATACACTATAGCACTTCTTGTATTAGAGTGCACCCGGGTAAGAAATCTGAACGCAGCCTAATGTATATGTTCGTAAGTGATGCAGCGGGTAACTGATAAGTGTTTGAAAGAAGGAGAGTTTATAGCGAAGAAGATGAAAATACCGAATGTGCAACAGAGAATCTGTGAGAATAATATTTAATATTGTTAAGAATAATAAAAATCGACATCATTTGAAAGTGTAAAATTATAATTGTTTATTCTTGTATAGGATAAAAAATGTGGATATTGTGGATATATTCTTACACAAAACTTCGATTTGTTACAACATTGTTGGGCCCCTATTCTTGAAATTTTTGCGTATATGTAATTTTTACTGCGCAGCTATTTTATGGTATGATTAAACCTACGAGACTACGTTCCGTCAATTCCGCATTGCGCATACGTTCCATCCCGTGTGACCGCACCATGAGTGTGCTCTGTCCTTGTTATTCCTGAAAGTTGAACAAGAACAAAGAACGCTTATAGCGCTAAATAGCATCTCCTCCTCAAACGCAGCCGAAGTCTATGGTTGATATTACATGTGTTGTACAACAAGCTTTTCAAATACGTTTATTGGTTGGCGAATAGAATATTTCCAGGTTCTCTGTTCTCGTCAACTAATGAATGTATAGAAAAAGCTTGTCGTACGTCACATGTAATATCAATCTAATAGCTCCTGCACACAGGACGTGGTAATACTTGCCGCGCGGCAGAAATCCGCGCGACAGCCAATCAATATGTTGTTTTTCCGTAAGAGCTAGAAGGTTATTACGGAAAGCAATATATTGATTGGCTGTCGCGCGAACTTCCGCCGCGCGGCAAGCATTACTCCTGTGTACAGGAGCCATTATTGCACTAGTTCAGCAATGTAGCTAAAAAGAACAGACCAACTTATTGCACCAGTTCAGCAGTGCAGCTAAAAAGAACAGAGCAAAAATGGCGTAGCGTTTGATTTCAAATTATTCGTTACATGATGGAGGACGTTCTACGAGGTTTGTGAGACGTGAGGAGTAGCCTTGTTCATAAAGGTCGTACAGCGTTTTGTTTAACATACTAGTTAAACGATATATATTTATTTACGCACAATGGAGAATTTCATAAAAATTGAAAAAATCGGAGAAGGTAAGAGCACATGGGAACAATAATAATCTATAATAATTTTGTTGTTAATTACCTATGTTGTACTGTGTAAAATTAAATGATATTGATCTTTTCAGCATTAATTAATGTTATATAGCCACACAAATTGTGTACATAATTATCTATGATATATTTATAATTGAAAAACACATTCTTCCTTCCTATCATGCACCTAGTTCTTGTAGATTATGCTTGTTCTTGTATATTTATAACATTATAAATATTTTTAATAAATTGATATTTTGTGAATTTGTTTCTTATCATGCATGATTAAAGAAAAAATATATTTAGTTATATCTTTAATATGGTTATATTTTTAAAAGAGGATTTATTAAATAGCCACAAATATCCTTGAGAAAGATATGGTAATGTATTCAAAGAAAAGAAAAATATTTGGTTACATCTTTACATAGGTCTTATTAGTAGACAATTTAATTAATCATATAAACATAGTATAGTATCTTCAGATTAAAATATTCCTTAGGTACATATGGAGTAGTATATAAAGGAAAACATAAAAAAACTGGAGAAATTGTAGCTATGAAGAAAATTCGCTTAGAAAGCGATGATGAGGGAATACCATCAACCGCTATCAGAGAAATTTCACTACTTAAAGAATTGAGTCATCCAAATATTGTGAGTTTAATTGATGTATTGATGGAAGAATCAAAACTATATCTTATTTTTGAGTATTTGACTATGGATCTGAAGAAATATATGGATACTTTAGGCAACAAGTTAATGGAACCAGATATGGTCAAGTCATATTTATTTCAGGTTTGTATATATAAAGAGATTCTTTATTTTTTTTAGTAATACTGTACTTGTCTCATTATGCATATAAGTATCATGTTATAATGTTTGTGAATGTTATAATACTCTGAAATTTCTACTAAGAACTGATGGTGTAGTAACATTAATACAAAAGCTTATTATTTTAGATCACACGTGCGATTCTGTTTTGTCATAAGCGCAGAATATTACACCGTGACTTAAAACCACAAAATTTGCTTATTGATAAATCTGGAGTTATTAAAGTAGCAGATTTTGGATTGGGAAGAGCCTTTGGAATCCCAGTTAGAATATATACACATGAAGTAGTGACATTGTGGTATAGAGCACCTGAGATTCTCCTTGGTGCTACCAGATATTCCTGCGCAATTGATATGTGGAGTATTGGATGTATTTTTGCAGAGATGACAACGAAAAAGCCATTGTTCCAAGGAGACAGTGAGATAGATCAACTGTTTAGGATATTTCGGTAAGATTTTTATAAATTGTCATTAATAAGAACTATTGTTGCCATTGAGGGATTGTATAATGATGATGCTGTTTACGTTGTAGAATACTGAGAACACCTACAGAAGATATTTGGCCAGGAGTCACACAGCTATCAGATTACAAAGCGACGTTTCCGAATTGGATGACAAATAATTTGGAATCTCAGGTGAAGAGCTTGGACAAAAATGGGCTGGACTTGTTACAGTCTATGCTCACGTACGATCCTGTGTACAGAATATCTGCACGAGCGGCATTGCTGCACCCTTACTTCAAAGATTTAGATAAATTGAAAATACCAGCTGCATAAAACAAACAAAAGTACGTCGAAAGAATAAAAATTTTGTATGATTAGTTTTAATTGCCTGAACGGGATTTATTTTATAAAAGATTTAATTGGTAATTTAGTCACACATTTCGTACATTAGTATGTGTTTAATTGGTTCACATTTCAGTAACCTTAATTAAGGCTCCTGGCCCCTCGCATTGTGTTAGAATAAAAGGGGAGTGCATGGAATATCTTACAAATTTGTTTTAATTGTTACAAATCAATTGTTCAATTTGTTACAAATCGATCGAGAGTGTTATTTTATGGATATATTTATTTTAACGTATTTTGCAAGAATTTTTAGTATACATTTTCTCGCTTCTGACATCATTAAAAAAAAAGAGATAAACAGGGCGAGAGGCCAGGAGCCTTAACGTTATATATATTCAAATTCATGTTTTAATTGTCAATTTGGCTTACCTCATTGTACAATTTGTCATGTAACATTCCACATGCATCTTTTAACACATTTTTTAATGAAAGATATCTTCAAGATCCTTTTTGAAGATTTTTAAAATATCAATTCTCCCGAATAGATTATACCAATTGTAATTATACCACTTAATTTAATTTACGTCTTATTTTCTTTTATACGGTTTATAATTGTAAACGGACTAATAGTATAAGGCAGGATTGATATCTTGTAACAAGATTTTATTATTATATGCATTTATTCTATTACATACTGATAATTAAAATATCACAAATTGCTTACAAGTGCCTTGCACTTACAAGTGCCTTAGCACAAAATACATATATTCTTAGAAGAATATGGCATTGCTTATAAGAGTTTGCACTTAATGTATGTTTTGCACTTTAAATAAATAATATTTTTATTCTAGCAATAAAATCAAGCCTTGAGAAATGCACTCTCCCCGAATATCGACAACAAAGATTTACATTTGAGTGAAATTCATAATGTTGCAACTTCACGATTTCAGTGATTAACAATATGCATAGAAAATGTGGAATCATAAAATGTACTGTTCATTATCTGTTGTTACACCATGTTTTAATTTGAATCCCATTTAGACTGAGTTTAAAGTTAATTATAGTTAAGTTAAATTGAAGTTTGAATCATGTAAATTGAATCATGTAAATTGAATCATACTGTGTACATAACAGAACAATAAATATCGTGGTCTATTATGTACATATTATCACAGAATTAACATTCAAATTACATGAAAAGTAAAGGAAGAACTTTCATATCTTACATATAAGGGAATCACAGTGATTCTCAGAAATATTTGATATTGTTACGTAGCTTGTATGTCGATGCGTCATCGCACTTATCCACTCAACCAAGTGTTACAATAACGATAATCTCAGATTTTTTTTAAGAGAAAGAGATGTGTGATGTACATTTGGTTTCAACACGGTTTAAACACATTCTCGATGCAGTTTGAGACACAATTGCAGATCCAATGAGAAAACTTGTTTTTCACTATTTCCCGGAAGTTAAGCTGTTTCATTGCCCTATTGGTTGCATTCCAGACTATATCGAGAAAATAATGTCCAAACTATGTCGAAACCAAGTGTATATACGTCGACGTATATAGATATACTTCTTGTCGTGATACTGAATTTATCATATATATGGAAAAGAAAAATGAATCATTGTAGTGACTGATTCGTGGAGAACGATACATTATGCATCTTGGTATTAGTTGCTATGATACATCTCGGTGAATGTATGCGTGTCCTGCAATTGGTTCGAGAGTGGGGTACTGGCCACATAAAGTCCGTCTCTCCATTGAAACTTCGGTTTATAGCACGAGCACATAGACTGGCAGCAGCAGCTTCTACAGTGAGTACGCATTCTCGAGCTTGTATATAGCTTTCAATTTCTTTTCTCAACACATAAATCGTTTATCTCTATTCTCGCAATATAAAGCTACAATGAGTGCATATATATATTATGTCTTTATTTAAATTTCTATTCGTTTTTCTTTTGTACACCTTGTATTATTATTATTATCTTGCTTTGTCCTTACGTGTATTCGAATAAAGAATATTGTTTGTTTTCTGCGCGACATATAATTGAACGGAGTGACAGTTTTAATGAAAATAGAATAGTCTTTTCGATAAAAAGAAAAACATGATCTCTTTTCGTGAAGTAAATTCCGAATCACGTAGTAGTGATAGAGTTTCCTATGTGAGAGCAAAAGATGACTATTGATTTGGAATAAGACACGTATTGGGAATAAAAATATTTGTGACACGAAGCAATAGGTCGTGCGGGTCGATTTTAATCTTACACTTGTATCAACGAGCTCTGTCGTAGTATTGTATAAAATAAGAGGAAAAGACGACGGATGTGCACACATTTGCTATTTAGATGAACACACAATTACAAACTCAGAGGTCTTTGATCCGTGACGCGTGTCAATGCGAATGATTCACGTCCCACCGGTTGTACTTGAAATCCAAGATCACGTTTGTGCGCGCAAGTTTAACGATCGTTTTACATGCCAAGTGTGGTGCATTAAACACAGATTGTTACGTAGCAGGAAGTTGCATTTAAATTGCAAAAAACTATACGTCACTATTTCCGTTAAAATCTCTACTGTTGCGTCGAAAATTAATTTCCATTTGTATCAAAGATTCTCATTGAATTGTGATGCTATATGTAATGCATTTGTTTCGTTTTTGAAACTTCGAGCATTGACCTAATTTACAATTATTGTATTTTCCACACGACATTTCTTAAACAATGTGACTTGATAAACACAGGAAAAATTCATTTCTAATCGCATTACCGTCTAAGTTTCGTTTTGGAAATATTCAGTTATTTTAATAATATTCGTTGCGTAAATATTCAGTGAACACGAATTATCAATAACATAACATCAATGATATAATTTTCTACTCAATAATGTCAATGCCATATAACGCGACTGTTGTATAACATTACATTATTGAGTAAGAAATTACATTCCACTACTAACATTAACGTTATGTTACTGATAGTTACTGTCCAGACAACATAATGTCTAAAATCGGGGCATAAATAATAAAATAATAATAATAATAATAATAATAATAATAATAATAAATAATAAGACATTTATACGTAAATCGTCTGAAAGCCATCTTAAAGATGATCTCTAATATCCCGATTTTAGACATTATGTTGTCTGGGTGTTTACGGAGTAAATGCTTACTCATTGATATCGACATTTCATATCGAATTTCGAGAAAACCCGACAATCGTACGACCACAGTCTCTGAATATATCCGAATTGCGTCCAAGCTATTTATCTTTTGTTCCTTTCAGAAGATGCAGTCCCTGACCTGGTACTTGGCATTGGCAACATGCATTGCTTTTGCGCAAGGTCATACGTATCATATGGGCTCTTGTCCCATCGTGGAACCCATGCAGGGTTTTCAAATGAATAGAGTAAGATGAATAAGTTTATAATCTTCGCGGATATTTGCGATACCGAGATGCCGCTCAATAACCGCTGACTAATCCCACACAGCATCCAAAACATATCATAGAGATATCCTAAAAATATATTTGGGATATGCGACATATTATAGGGATATCTTTAAGATATCGCTATGATGTATTTGGGGTATTTCTGCTGTGTGGGATGACGTGACTTACACCGAAGAAAAAGTCTGGATGTTTTAACCAAATTTTTAGTGAAAAATAAACGAACCAATAATGCGGATTGGGGTTACCAGAATTCTGTTTAAACTAATAAGATTTCTGATTAACTTGAACAGGATTTTGGTAACTTCGATTGAAATTTTCTAGTTCGTTCATATTTCACTACGGTATTAATTATGAATTTTTTCACGGAATCAATTATCATATTTCACGGAATTGATAATACTCGATCTTAGTTATCATATAATTTTTGTCTCTAGTATGGAAATTATGAAAAGTGAATAATTTTGCGGTACTTGGAGGCAATCATGAATCTTTTATTCGAATGTATATTAGTGTGAAAAAAGTGAAAAAGAAAAAAGACATATCCATATATATATTTTAAAGCTTTTTCCTTTTTCACACTAAAGGAAAAGATTCATGAGTCTCGGAAATTTGGTTAATCCAGCCAAACGTTTTTTTCCCTCCAGGACATATTTTGTAAAATATTTTGGCCCGTATTCTGTTTTCTTTTAACGATAAATGAGCCTCTAAAAGTGGCTTATAAGTTTTCTGATTGGCTATGAGTCACTTTTAGACCCAGATAGCATAAAATCTCCTGAGGACGTCCTGAGGACGAAGAAATGTCTTCAGGACTTCCTCAGGATATATTCTGGATATTTGTTGGACATATATGCTGTTAGGGGAGGCTCATTTATCGTTAAGAGAGAATTCAAAATACGGACCTAAGTCTGATACATTTGTGTCTATTATTATCTACACGTAGATATCAGTTTTGAGTTGAGTTGCGTTATCCAAACAGTACAAATTATTAAAAAATATTTGAAATATATATAAAAGAAGTTTAAAAGAAATAGGATATCTTTTTGATGTTTTTAAAATGTTTTTTAGTAGTTTGTGTCGTATGGATATGCTTCGCTAAAATATAATCTTATTTTAAAAAATTTGATAGAATTATAGACAAGAAAAATCTATGTAACCTAATCGAGCTTTTGGTAAAAAATGATGAAATTCCATACAGACATGTATTCAGATAAATATTTAATTACTTAGTATAATATTTAATAGTTAAAAGTAAGTTACGATATAAAACAATATTGACAAAATTGATAACTTTTTACATGAGATGAAATGTGAGAAATTGAAATTTCTGGTAGAAATGACAAGCTCAACCAAAGTCGTGTAATATTATAATGAAATTTGTATATATTTCTGTCGATCTCTGGATTTTTCAAGCAAAATTTCTCAATTGCGTAATCGATTTCATTCGATGATAATCGGCGGTAATCGATGAAAATTTTCAGTTCTTGGGTATATGGTACGTCGTCCAGAAAACGTCAACGGCCAGTAAGTGTATCACCTACAACTACACACGAGGTGAGGAGCCAGGCGAATACTTCATAACGCAGGATTCGGATCATCCAATCTTAGGTAAGTTGATCGAGATCGATACACGATCGCGGGGAGAGTCACGTAATGAGCGAAGGGAAACGGTTCGTCTTCTGCGACAAACGCATAGGACCCATTCGACGATCATAAAAGCCCGTCAATGGGATAAACGTCTAGCAAGTGGGATGAATTATCCGTAATTGTGCGATACATATGTGCAGGTCTTACGTCATTGAAGCACGAATATCACTATACCGGTGAGCTGAGTGTACCGGAACCTAGTACTCCAGGACGCATGGAAGTCCGTTTTCCTCTTAGTAAGTATTCGGTTAAAACAATTTGCATTATAGTATTAAGATTCAGAAGGAGAAAGATATCAGAAAAATTATCTCCCATCTTTTTTTTTTACGAAACAATAAGTTTTCTCTGCTGAGCTGCATTAGTTTGCCTTAGCTTTCTTCTTCTCTTTCTTCTCCCATCAAGGCAATACTTATTTCTTTTTAAGTTTCGAAAATGTACGTTATACAAAGATATCTGGATATCTTTGGAATGTCTCTAGGACGTTTTTTGGATATCTATATTGTACGCGTAGTTCAGCGATAAAGAACGGACTTAATTTATCTTAGAAAGTGAAAGAGAAGACTGTTTCGTATAAAAATAATCCTGCATGTTATTTCCAAGTGAAGAGATATTTGTATGGAAAAATACTTCTGATCGCTTAAATATTCTTGCAAAATATCCCGAAAATTATTTTGTCCCCTTGACAGTCAATAAATAGCCGTAAAATTAATATGACATGTGCTGCGTTCGAAAACACGCACTGTGTGCACACTATTAGACGATAGCCGTTGGAGTGAACGAAATACAAGAATGAGATAAAAAGAGAGGGAGAGTACTCGAGTGACTTTTCCGAACGCAGCCATGCAATCTTCTTTTTTAATTTATCTTTTCCCATGATTCTACCACGTTCATTTTGCGGCTATCATTCATTTATTGACTATCAAGGGAAAAGGATAGTTTTCAAAACATTTTACAAGTATACTCAGCGATCTGAAATGTTCTTTTATACAAATATTTTTTCATTTGAAAATGATACGTAAGAATTTTCAACGTGCCACTTCTCGCTTCTCTAACGTCACAATCTAATAACGCAGCCGCGGAGAGTAGCCAGGAGCCTCAAAACGTATTCTCAAAACTTCTTCCTCTGCGTATGTTGCAATGACAGGACATTAGCTGGAGAGCATGTGGCCTACATTCTAATTTCGCGAAAAACTACTCCTGTATTCTCCGCTAATGGCTCTCATTCGAGCAACGAATTACAAGTTAAGCTTCCGTGTTGCGTAATTAAGGTTTTACGTTTAGGTGTGGCCGGAAGCGCATCCCACGTGGTGTTTATGACGGACTACGATAATTACGCCGGCATATTCACCTGCCAGAAGCTGGCGTTCGCTCATCGGCAAAGCGCAACGATCCTCTCGAGGACTCGGATGTTGGATCAGGCCCAGGTGGATAAGATACGCCATAGATTGAGCCAATACGGCGTTGATCCGTTCGATCTGAGCATTATCTCGCAGACAGATTGTCCGCGTGGAAACAACAGTCTAGACATCAACGTCGATCCCAACACCTTCACCTCCGAAAACATCGGCAACGTGGTGCGCAAAGCCGGCGAGAAGCTCGGCGACGGAGTACAATGGATCAGCCAAACCGGAAGTCACGTTTATCATAAGTTAACCGGAACCGAAGAAAGCGATCATACGTCATCAACGTCGCATGAGAATAGCGAAGTCACAGCGAATGTTAGGAGGACCGGCGGTAAATACGAAACTAACGAGGTGGAGTGGATCCCTTAAGTGCTGCCTGAGCAATTTCGTTAATCTTTTTTATTTCACTGTTATACATTAGTCGTAGACTTATCTTTTTTATTTCACTGTTATACATTAGTCGTAGATCTTAATACGATTAGACATAGACGTAGTGAGCGATGATAGGGCCATTAAGATATTTCTTTTGATGCACGTATAACTTTCTATTGTACTGGAGAACATATGTAGTACTTGAATGCATATCTATAGAATCACAATAAGAAAGAATCCAGATAGCTTCTCAAAGACATCTTATATGTATAAAAATACATGAGAAATAAAAATAAATAAAACCTCTTCAGACAGTATTTATAACAAGGATTTTATATTTAGAATTGTCTTAAGTTCATCTTCAGATCCTATGTAGCCAGTAAAACCGTTTTTATGGAGAACTCACACCTTGGAAAAAAGCAGAATTAGTTATACCTGACCATCAGTACGAGTTCTGATTGGCTTCTACTTTCTTGCTTTCTGCTTTTCTGTCAAGGTGTGAATGCACCCTTAGACTTTAGACCTTATTCATAATCATTATTCATAGTCAGATATATTTAAGATAAGACGATCTTAAATGTTATGTCAATTGTTTTATGAAATATCCTGAAAATGAACTTCGGATAATCCTAAATACAAAATTCGTCTATGAGTACTGCTTTCAAGCGACTGAAGATGAACTTAAGGCGAGTTTAAATATAAAATCAGACTGAATACGGCCCTTAGGCATTTTTATAAATGGATTATACTACTGGCTGTCCTATTCATCTATGTTGTAAATGATTAAAAATAAAAGAAAATTTATTTTTTTTAATAGTATGTATTAGAGCAATATCTATCTTGATGTATATAATAAAATTTTTTGCTAAATACAATTGTCTATTTATTATGTTTATATGCTTTCTTGTGCAAGAATATAATTAATGGTTTATATTGATTTTCCCCGTTATTATTTCATGTCCCATCACTATGCTCTAAATCTATTAGATTACTGAAAGCTCTAGTGCTCTCTAAATATCTATTATAACGATAATTGCCTACTTGAGCAACACAAAATATTGGGCTAATGTTAAATTTGTAATGGCCAACCGTTGGACAGACAACCAATTATGTATTGTTCAGGCATCAATATTCAGCAAATATCTAGATCCACATAGCACAAGATTTAAAAGATGTCCCAAAGACATCCAGAGGATTGCTAAATGTCCGCATAAATATCCTAAAAATATTCTGAGGACTTCTAAATATCCACACAAGTCCCCAAGATATCCTTTCAAGATCTTATGCTATGAGGGGAACATCTTGAAGACATTCTAGAGATAAAAAAGCAAATAAGATATCTTTCAGATGTCTCTGGGATACATTTTGGACATTTATATGGATATCCGGGAAAAAAAAAGTTCAGATAAAAGCCAGATATAGATTTTGTCAAGATATGATCAGATATAATCAGATATAACGTTATATGTGATTCAGATCTATCCATATATAATCATATATAATCATATATAATTGTATATATGATTATATATTATTATATGTGGACAGATCTGAATAATATATAACGATATATATGATTATATCTTGACAAAATCCATATCTGGTTTTTGTCTGAACTTTTTTTTCCCGGATAGGTAGATTTAAAATATCAATATATACAAAGAAAAAAATATATAAGATTTAATAAAATAAAAGTAAAAATTTAAAGAATAGGCAAAGCTATCACTGATAAAATTTCTTGTATATAAATTTATATAAATTTATCAAAAGGAGATGCGCGAGATCGTAATATACAAAGTGACTCCACTAAGTTTAATGTCAAAGGTCATAGTTATTCGTGTAACCACCTACGTACTCTAAATTTCTCGTCGGTGAGTTTCGCGATGGATCTGAGAAAATTAATCGCGCTTCTCTTGTGTCGGGGGTGCTCCACATAAGCAGTCGCCGTTAGATGATTTGGGTTCTCCCCTAATGTGTGTGTAACGCGACTGGTGTACGCGTTCGTATATGCGCGACCGCAAATATTAACATCCTGACGTCTCATTCGAACCATCAGTCTGATAGTAACTGTTGAGGAGTGACAAACCAATTTCGCGGTTGCGACGATCGTCTTGGAAGTTTTCGAATGCAAACACATCAATTCGCTGCAAGATCCAAATCACCGACGAACCTCAACGTATGTACGCTCCAAAATTAACGCACGAATATTTTATTTAATAATCGAAACATTTTTTCGCTGACGCGCTTCTAATATCGCTCGCATTCGCTATCTCTTTTTCGCAATAAAGTTAGCTGATGCACGATTTAGTCTTGATGCGACATTATACTTTTCATTAGTAAAATATTAAAGTGATAAGCCAAGCTTTACGTATATCGGTATTTATTTTGTTCTTTTCTTTGTAGTAAGTGTAACGATGCATTATTTATGCGAACATAATTTCATACATTCATTTTTCATGACTGTTTTATCACCGCGGAATTTTCCAACGCGCTATCGAATTGTTGCGACAAGTCTAATTGAAATGCATGATGGTTATCTTGTTCTCGATCTTTCGCGCCGACTGGAAATTATATAGGAGAGTTCCAGATTTTTTATAAAAAAGAAAGAAAAAAGAAAGAAACTCTGTGCAGTGTAAGCAGTAGCCTTCACGCAATAACGTATTCTCGTCGCCACGATATGGTCTTAGCCATTCAGATTCAATAACGCTATTTCGATATATCAGCCATATCCATTTCTATTAAGTTTGCTATGTTAAAGCTATTTTATAACAGTTGATCTTTAATCCGTGATAATTCGTCTGTGCATCGCTAAATGTCCTCTCATTAATCCTCTCATTGTGATAACACTTTAAGCAAATAAGTTTGCACGATAATGATGCTTTTCGGCAGAATCTAATGGTCATTTCAACAACAACGCGTTGTCTCGCGCGAAATTTATGACTGTTTCTTCTGAGCCGACAAAACGTAGCCGCACACTCTCCTCCTTGCCGGTTTGTTACGCACTGCAGCAACGGGCTCGACGGCGCCACGGGGGTGGCTCTCGCAGGGTGCGCAGTTTAGACTGACGGCGGTGACCTCGCGCATCCGCTACGTCTCCGTAGCGTATTTCTTCTTTCAGTCGCATTCGCGTATTTCCCGGTTCCAGACAGTCTCGGAACCGCGACGGCCTCGTATTACGCATTCGCGATCGCGCCTCCGGGTGAGCGACGTAAAGCAGGCCGATTCAGTCAACTGGTTTACCTTCGAGGCTGCACTTCGTCGCATCGCTTTCGACACGAATATTCGTGGCCCGTGTTACAACATACTGGTTAGGAAGGTGCAATATGCTATGGTAAAATATATACATTTCATGAAAAAGAAAAACGTGCGGTATACCGCGGAGATACGAAGGTGGTTCAAATTTAAATACGAAATATGCGCCTGGAATACACAGCCCCTAAACTGCCGCGGGTGCGGATTCTTCTAATCACCAGTGGCGCTATTTGGTTCTGAATTTAGTTGCACATATCTCATAAATAAATTACACTTCAAATTTAAGTTACCTTTGCATGTGTCGGTAATTTCATTTCGATTTTATAACGTTCCGATTTTTTAGCCCAATTTCCAACCGAAATTTTCTAACATTTCTGTTAAAAAAGAGATTGATATAGATTTCAGAGTATCAAAATAGGCGTTAAATGGAATATTGAGGTCGAAAATAGAAAATCAAGATGTCGATTTGAACTCAATCACATTAATAAAATAATATATAAGTCGAAAAAAAAACTGTATATAGTATATAAATTTTTTGAATTTAAGGTAATATCCCGAGTCAAAATTTTAACTTTACTTTTGGCTTGAACTTTCTAACATCTGCATATCCTAAAGGATCAATGTATGTGTTTAATACATGGAAACTAAAGTCTTATTTGGTGCCTCTAAATGGCAGAAAACGCACAAATAGCCCAAATAAAATAAAAAATGCTATTTAAGCAATTAACTTTGCCGAAAGAGGTTAATATAACAAATTCAGAATATCAAAGTTAAATTATTAAATTGTATAACGAGGTCGAAAGTAGAATTAAGATTTTGATTCGGGTTATGGAAGATCCGACGGGGGTGCTAAAATTTAACTTTGCTGTGTTAATTTTGATTTATTCCGAACACTCTTACGAGGCGATAAATATGCCTTAAAAGCTATTTGTTATTATTATTATTGATGAATAATTTATTTAGCGTTTTAAGATATATATTTTTAATCAAAGACTAATATAAATGCAATTCACTATAATTTTCTACGATTTTCAAGTTTATTTATACACAAGTAAGCTTGAGAATTGCATGAGCATTTTAATTATAATATTAATGCATGTATATGTGACGACCATATCCATGGCATATTTTAGCACATATTTTCATCTTCGAATCTGTCGTATTCACTTTCGAATCCATCGAAGCCCGGCGATGTATTTCATAAGAGGTAACGATCTGTTGGAAATAACTGGATGCGATTGCATTGTCGTTGTGGCTTTCGATCTACGTTCGAACTGTACTCTTGAATAAAAGCTTGAATACTTTTTCGATAAATTTTAAAGAACTTTCGTGTCTCACGTGTTTCACGTGTTTTACTCTTTTATAACCTTGCCGTTAAGAAAACATTGCATAAAATTATAATACAGTCATTAAGCAACGCGTTGCTGAGTAATAAAAGATAAAAGCTTGTGTTTTTATATATCGTCGTAAAAATTGTATTGTCGAAAGATAAGAACATAGATACAACTAATGTCGTATAAGTGATATTTTTGTATTTTTATGCTCTATACAGTGTCACGTCTTTCATGCGGGTCGGTTGAACTGATTTGATAATCGCGATTAGCAATCAACGATGACCGCACGGGACGCATAGTTATACGTCATAGTCGTCCAGACTGCGTCCAATTATAATAAAGCTGTCCCGCTGGCACACATCAACGCAGGTTCAAGAGACAAGTTCGTCAACGATTTTCGTTGACCTACATTGTTGGTTATACATCGGGGAACGCGTACAAGTCAATAATGTACATATTCTTTGCAAACTTTTAAAGGTAACAATAAGAAACTTCTAAAAATAAAGGATAGAGTTATTGAAATTTTATTTATTTCAGCTTAAATTAATTCCGTTTTGTTGTGGAATATTTATCTGAGAAAATTAATCTGTTTTTTGTTTCTGGTGCCGTAAAATATTGAGATCGAATATAATTATCTCAATTGTTTTCGCAGTAAATTTATCGTAAAATTTGGAAAATATTTTTGATATCGATATAGATACATATGGTATTTAAAACACTGTTAAATTTTTACAAAGGGAAAGGTTGAGGGAGACTCACCGTTTCTTCTTCTATAGTTTGAATTTTCATATTAATATCATACAAAAATTTAATATCAAATTAATTATTTAATAATAATATAAATTTTTTAAATATTAATATAATAATTTAATATTAATATTTAATATTAATATAATATAATATAACTTACATTTTTAAACCTATCCTTTCTAAAATAGTTTAGACAAGTGACTTACTTTGGAATTTTAATGATGAGAAATAAGCGGCCCTTCTATAGGGAACTTCATATTACAACACGCTGTAACTTTCATTCATGATAGTGTGCGGCTCATAATAACTTCCCAAAAGAATTTTGTTTATTTAGCCATTACTTATTTCTCTAAATTTCTTAAAGTTAAATTTTACTCAAAATATAGAGTGATTATTAACTCACTTGATAATTACTGAGTCAATTCAAATGATTTTTTTACATTTTATTGAGATTGAGTTTTCTACTCTGAATCGTCGAGTAAATATTTTCACTTGAAATTAAAAAGTGAATATGATGTATTCCATAGGTATTGTCATAAAAACACACTCCAATCGATTGAAATATTCTCTCTTGCGATTTTCCCATTATTACTTCGAGCGAAAATATTGCCACTTTTCATTCGTTTTAAGTGAGATTCTACTCCAAAAAATTTATATATAATTTATATATCCAAAGAATATATAATCAGTATTTACTTTTATTTAAATAAAATTGTAGATGATTATTCAGATGAAATTTTGGCGTCATTTTATCTTTTTTAGATAATGAAAATATATATTATCTTCACCTGCATCTTAGAAATTGTTATCTTTACTGAATTATTTAAAATTTGGAACATATTGTTGTAAATGTGTAAAATATTAATAAAATATTTGCTTTTATGTAGTGAACGTTTACGTTAATACTGCCTGTATCGGACTATATTGAGATTAGAATTTCACTAGGATTTGTTTATAATTACGACAAAGTAATAATAAATTTATATAACTCATGAAAATTGTTTATCGAACAATATGAAACATTTATTTCTGCGCAATACTTATCAATAAAAGTTTGAATATATTTTTATATTCCTTTTTAATTGCAACCTTTTTTCATAACTGTTTTTATAAATAACCTCAAAAATAATATTATTTAGATATTATCTAGGTGAATTACTATAGAACTTCATTTTTCATTTAGATACATTCGAGACGAAAAAAATCTTTATCTTTTCTCATGTGAATTTATATAAAATTACCTTAACTTTATCTAGCTAATTTTGAAATGATCTAAGCACAACATAATGCATCCTTAACGATAAATGGTTCTCCTGTTATGAACCAAAGACCAAACTGCACTTTTGTACATCGGAAAGCAAGTAAACCGATATATTTTTGCTGGTGTTAGGAAAAGCGAAAATTATGGAAAAAGAGCAAGTGTTTCGCTCGCATTTTATTCTCGGCTTTTCCCTTCACGCTAGACACGAGCGTAGAGCGAACGGACAAACAGATTTGATCGTCGTGATTCACGATGAGCAATGAGCGCCGGTGCGACATGTACTATATATATAGGTCACTCGTTCAGACTACGTGAGTTAGTTACGGTGCGATCCCGGCGGCATCCCTCAGCGCAGGTTCAAGAGACAAATTCGTCAATGAACCTCGTTGACTTACATCATAGTTGTCGCAAACACACGCGTCCCCTTCGGGGCGCGTACTCTCGGTCTGTTTCGCGCTCGGCCTGAATTAAAACGACCCAAACTGTGTTGTCTATGAATAACGAGGTCGCAGGTCATGCCGATTCTCAGAATTACATGTATCCGTTGAGAGGTGATATCACTTAACCACCTGTCGGTACTTAATCACAGGTGTACTTGGCTGAATGAAACGCGAAGATGCGCATCGCCTATTAATCAACGGCCTCGTTGCGTCCATCACCTTGGAGATGATTACGTCCGCAGCTTCTGTGTTCCATATAATGACAAATAGCAGCGCATTCAGTCGACTATTATCGTTTGCTTGTTAAACGTTGAATCAACGGCCTTGGCGGGATCGGAGAGAGACGTTCCGAGAGTCATTCTCGAGCATCGTCTCGGTCGAGAATATTCGTACTTGGTGTTTGGCTGGGTTAAATGTTCGACCAGTCGGCTTTTTTCTTTTTCTTTCGAAAGCCGCTCTTCACTCGGAGCTCTCGGTAATGTTGATTGAGACACCCGAGAAGGAAGGTTGGACAATCTTCTCGTTCTTGTTCCTTCTCTGTGTCGACGGTGCGCGGCCTTGGAGTTTTTGGACATCCAGCGTCGTCTGTCCGTCGAAATCTCTCCAGTCGTTAACCGCGATTCATTCCGAATGGCTCGATCAATCGTTTCTTATCGTTCACAGATGATCATTTTGTTGGTCCTTCTCCTGCCGGCTCTCTGGACTCAGGTGGTCTATACGAGTGTGTTGGTCGCCGATACAACCATGTCCAGGATGGTAGAGCTGAACGCCGACGCGCCCTTCTGTGCTCTTTACAGTGACCGCGGGATTATCCAGAGAATGGTCCTCGGAGCGGATCCCAAGAAAGTTCGCCAAATGTCCAGCAACCTCGTCGCTGATCTCGAGGAGACTTGCAAGGCTTCGCGCGACAAGGGCAAGGTGAGACACGCCCTTCGTCTTCAACATATATTTGATATAACAAAGTACACCTAAAATATATAGGAGAGACCGGGACTAGTTGATTATCGGGGTAAGTTGACAAAATCAACTTCTACTGTTCTTTGACAGATTTCAGAATCAAGCAAGCAAGGATTTTAAAACCATCTTTGACATCTTGTTTGCTTAATTCTGTAACTTGTTAAAAAATAACAGAAATGAGATGAGGCTAGCGTGCTATATTTGAATTCTACTTTTAATATCTTTCAAATTATATATAAGATTTTGATGAAAAACTACTGTGATATTAAAGACTAATGACACATTACATACAAATTTCAGAATTACTGAAATATTTTGTTTTCGAAATATAGTGGTGGAAAGTTCATAATTTATAATAAAATTTGAAATACATATTTACACACATTTAAATGCATATCTCTTTTTATTATCTGTACATTTCTATTAGATAAACTGACGCATAAATAAAGCATTCATCAAAAAAGTAAATAAATAATAGTTCATTAAATCAATTTTTGCATTTGTAATATTGTGTATATATGTTTGTCGCAATTTCGTTTCAAATTATTAGTGATACTTTTATAGTGAAGTAAATGTATAGAAACATAATTTTGTTTGATAAATATTATGAATGGTCTTCTTGATGCATCGCTGAAAATATGGCATCTAGCGATAAAACTTGAAAAGAAAAATATAATATCAGAGAATATAAATTAATAAAGAATATAATATCAGAGAATATAAATTATCCAGAAGATACTTGAAAAGAACAGAGAAGCTATGAAACATCGAGAATCTTCAAAGCGCGTGAGATTTTCAATACTGATTAATCATATTTTTAGAATACGTATTGTTACATTTTGTAATGGTCATTTCACATTGAATATCACTTGCAAAAATTAGCGTCGTGTATTTCGACTCGATTGCGAACGATAAACTATAAACGTTGTTAAATCATTGCCCTTAGAACCAAATGCCCGGCGGTTTGATATATCCCGGTACCAAATGGTGTGGACCGGGTGATGTGGCCAGTTCTTACGACGACCTGGGTCAACACGAAGCCGAGGACGCTTGCTGCAGGGAGCACGATCATTGCCCATTCACGATAGCGCCACAGGAGTGTATACATGGCATATGTAATAATTCACCATTTACTCGCTCGCATTGCGATTGCGACGCCAAGTTGCGCAGGTGTTTGCAGAAAGTCAATACCGAGGTGGCGAACACTCTTGGCGCGCTTTTCTTCAACATCATCCAAGTTACCTGCTTTAAAGAGAGACGTCCGTGTTCCGAGTGGCAAAGGTATGCATAATCTATTTAAGATTTCATTATTTGATTTATAAACTTGATAACACTTTAATCATTTCTTTATTATTTTTATCCATTCTTTAGAATACCTGTGTTCTTTAGTTAGAACGGTTTGTTATCTTTATTTTGACTACACAGACATATATTTATAATTGACGTTAGTTCCTAATACACATATTTTAGTTGCGATTTGGAATTAGTGAATGCGACGAGTTATTTCTCGGGAGATCCGCCCCATAGACGTGCACTTGAAAGATCGCTACTGAGAAACTTCTTCAACGTGATTAGAAACTTCATAGCAGGACCGAGGAATCTTCGTCAAAATTTTGCTGTGTTCTTGTCAACGAATCACGAAAAATAAAGAGTATTGCGCCGTTTTTATTTCTTCAGCACTTATCAATATTTGGTGACGGTTGGGAGCGTCGTTGTAACTAATCTTGATTGTTTAGCAATTTTAACGTCTTGGTGATGGTCTAGTAGCAATTAATTTTTCAAATAATTTTTCAATAAATTGTTTCGACGGAACTGCGACAAATATCGCTAATGAAATTTGATGATTCGACTTTGATTTTGATGAATGTAATTTATTGCAGGAATGGCTACGCCGAGGCTGTGTCCAATCGTTTGTGCTCACAGTACAAATTTCGACCTAGCGATAAGTACATGCCCCTGATGCCTTTGAATATAAATATATGAATCCGGAAGCGACAGAAGGACAGGCCCGAAAAAGGCTAGCTAAGGAGCCCACACCGTTGTTATGGAGACTATGTTACGACAACGATCACATCGAACGATTATTTACTACATATCAAATTGCCGTCCTTACTGTCGCGCACCAATGTGCATACCATTAAGTAATGCGATTTTTTTAGGAATTAAGTTACTGAGACTGTCCTTTAGAGTCCGCGCATAGTGGAACTGTGTTATCCATTGAATTTATTCCGCTGTACATATTAACTGTAATTGACTCGGAAAAACTACAGCTTGGCCTACATAATCGAGCCTTGCTACATCTATAATCGTTATCGAGAGCAATAAGTGCATCGTATACGAGAGTGCAAGTTAGCGTTAATTGATAACTAATATTATCTTACGCGATATATATATATATATATCTACACGGGGAGAATATATCATAGTTTCTTCCTATATAAATTCTTTTCAATTTTATTATGTTTCTATTAGTGCAGAAATAGACTGTTAGATTGACTTTCTTTAAACTCTGGTTAATCTTAACCGATAGTTAACTGACAGAGTGACTAACTAAGGCCAAGTTTCACAACATCTGTTTAATTTTAACTACCGGTTAAGTCCCAATAGTGATTGGTTAATTCTGATTAATTCTTCTTAATGTCAAATGCGATTGGTCAAGTCCAATGGAATAACCAGCTATTTAAGTTAACTGAAGGTTGTGGAATTGGGCCTAAAATATTTCGAATTCCTTACTTTCTTTCACCTTCTTCTCTAAAAGTAATTTCAATTAGTAACCCTGTTAGTTAACTATCGGTTAAAATTAACCGGAGTTTGTTGGAAATCAATCTCAGTAAGGTCTATTTTGCATAATAAATTTCGTTAGAAACATAACAAATTTTTTAATACCTCATTTCACAGTTCCTAAAATATAAATAACACATATAAAATGAAAGGATAATACATTACTATAGAATGTTAATCTTACAAAATTCTATAGTAAATTTTGTTATAAAATTCTCTTCGTGTAGGAGTGTGCCATAATTATTTGATTTATCATAATTATATATTTTTGCTTTTACACTGTCTGCTCCATTATAATAAAGATACACTGTCTGAAGTATATTGCCAGACAGTACAAGATCTTCAAGGAATATCCTGGGGACTTGCATTTAGAAGTCCTTAGGATATCTTTAGAACGTCTTTGAAAGATTGTGGTGTTTGGGTTTTTTGATTGAATAGGCTAATAATTATTTTTAATAATCTTTTAACTACCCAGATAGCCAACCCAGATAGCACAGAGAATTCTAAAAGAATTCAGTCGTATGTCAGCAATTCTGAGTTAATTTTTAGATACAAAAAGAATTCTTTTCACTGAAATGAACTCTGAAGAATTCTTTTTACATCTGAAAATAAACTCAGAATTGGTGACATAGGACTGAATTCTTTTTGAATTATCTGTGCTATCTGGGAAATCTGCGCGAGCATATTTTGTGCATAGTCTGTTAGCAGTGTCTGTAACAGAAACGTAACAGATTCTACACAATATGTGTTTATTAGACTCTGACGGCAGTTTGGAGAGAGGTTGCTTGCAGAGTCTGCTGACAGATTCTAACGTCAGGAGGATCTACGCGCATTTTGCCGCCAATTTGCCGTTAGAGTTTGTCAACAGACTCCCCAGACAGCACAATGTCTAAAAGTGGGACATAAGACGTCTTTAAGATATCTTTAAGTTGTCTTTAAGACAAGTTTATAAAGTATTATCTTAAAGATGTCTTAAAGTTGCCTTAAAGACATCCTATGACTCGATTTTGGACATTTGTGCCGTCTGGGTCTGTTCACAATCTAACAGCAAATTGGGGATGTAGATGTCTATGAATTTGTTGACAGATTCTACTCGAATTTGTCATCAATCTGACGTCAGTTTGCGCACAGATTGCTTACTGGGTGTTTTGAAATATATTTATAAATCGTAGCGTACATTTCCGCGAACTAATTATATTAAAGCGAAACGGATAATTCAGTAGCGGGAATAATAACATACTAATTAACTATTGACATTTTTCCTACATTTCTTACATGTAATATTAACTCGCGCAATTAAAACAAAGCGTCGATATATGACTTTTGCGATACGATACTTTGCATTACTATATTGTACGAAGATGGCTATGATAATAATTTCAATAAGGGTTTTATAATATTTCCATAAAATATCAATATATTTACTTTTAAGGTCCAAAAAAATTACTTATATTTCTCTAAATAGTCAAATTATCTTTTAGACAGTACAGATCTTCCAAAGGATCTTCTTGAGGACGTCCTGGAAGTGTTCTAAGGATATAAGAACGTCCTCTGAACATCCACAAGACATCCCTTAGAGATGTGTCTAAGCTTATGTTAGAAGAAGGATAAAGGTGACATATTACAATAACAGCATAAAAGATGTTTAGGAGAAAAAATAATATATAACATTTTTATGTTATTTTTGTAATATCCCAAAAGAATTCACATTTATGTCACCAATTCTAAGTTCTTTTTCAGATGCAAAAAGAATTCTTTTTGTATCTAAAAAAGAATTCAGAATTGATAACATAAAAATGAAATGTCTAATGAAGTCTTTTTGAGTTCTATTTGGGATATCACCTTTATCTACTTGCCCTTTCAAGTATGATATAGTTAAAATATATAATAAAAATATAATTTCTTTTAATATGTTCACATATTTTACCTACTACAAAATATTTCATTGTATTTCATTCGCATTTTATAAACAAAACATACAAATTTATTAGTATTGTATATTTCATTTGCCATTCTGTTAAAAAAAACATAACTATAATATTGCAAATTTAATTAAAAAATTTAACTAGAAGAGAGAATATAATAATAATAATAAGATTTCTTTTACATTTTGTACACGCGCGCGACAATACGAAATATCATTCAATATTATTACATTTACGAAATATCATTCAATATTATGTTATGCGTTTCCCAAGATTTTCGACAATATCTCATCGACAAATTAAATTTTCGCGCTTTTCGTTTCGAGCATTCCGTCCAATGAGGCGACACGTCGTTCACGGGACGCGCGGTTTGAATCTACATGAGTTTCACGCTCGGTGGTCGAGCGGAGCGGAGTGGGAGTGTATCAATCGTACATGCCGTGATGGATGAAGTTTCGACAAACGGTAGGTCTTTTTGTGGTAAAAACGGCGTCGCGCTGTCACGACCGAGTCACGCGAAGATCAAGCTGCTGAGACGGACATTGCTCGGACGGCGAATCGTCCGAGCGACGCGCCGTCGACGAAACGGCGACTCCGAATGGGTCGCGCATAGCGTGGGCGTCCTATCTTCCGTGTCTCTCTTTGCCCACGCTCCCGCATTAATAGTTTATTTATGCGTTCCGACGCGATTATCTCCTGGTGGAACCACGAGAAAAACGCGATCCTCGCGAGAGGCATACGTCGTTGCGAAAAGAAACACGCTACTTCGCATCCACGACTCTGTGCCTTGCTCCGATCGTTGACAGTCGTTATCAGCTGCTTGATAACTTGTTCGATCTTATGCCTAATGTCAAACGTGATTCATGTTTCCTTCCCGAGACATCCGTCGAATCCATCTGTTCACAATTATCTGCATATATACATTTGTTGCATGATACACACGATTGCAAAGAGCAAATTTTGGAATGTAAAAAATTGAAATGAGAGATTTTATACATACATATACACACATAAAATTGTGAAATTAGTAAATGTTAATATAAGTAAATGTTAATACGAATAACACATGTTTTATAGAATCATGTTACTTTGACAATTTAGAAAGATATTATTGTTTTATTATTATTTTGAAAGATATTATTGATATAAATTTGTTACATTACCTGTTAATAATTATATATTAAGATTTATATATGATTTATATCTGAGAAAGAGAATACATTTGAGAGACAGTACATGATATGTGTGTCACTATATTTTCTAGATCCAGGAGGTGGAGAAAGTGGAGGGACGCTGATATGTGCTGGTTGTCTTAATGCTATTGATGAAGATGAATTTATACAGGCGTTGAATCAAGAATGGCACATTGATTGCTTTCGGTAAAAATGCTGACATTAATATAAAGTATTATTGTATACATTAAGAACATTAATGAGAGTATATAAGTTATCAATGATATATGCAGGGTGTCTGATAATTATTGACACATCCATTGTATATGGGTAAAACTCGTCAAATTGAACACAAAATTTCTCTATCATTTTGCAAACAAACATGTAAAATTTGCTAATCAAAGAAGTTTGGTGAATGACCATGCATGATGTGGTAGATAAACTGTGATGGCAATCAAATTATGTCTGCCATTGTATACTTGTACATTAAGTCAAATTAAAAAAGTCCTATCATTTTACAAATGACCATGTAGATTTATAGTTATTAATTAAAGAAGATTAGTGCATTATCATGCACAATTATGCATTAATCTTCTTTAATTAATAATTAAAAATCTTCTTTAATTAATAACTAAAAACTAAAAACGTGATCATTTATAAAATGGTAGGTTTTTTGTTCAGTTTGACTTAATGTACTTAAACATATGATGACAGAGACCGCCATCACAACTCATTTATTGTATCGTGCGTGATTACTCATTAATATTTGATAAAAAGTTTCACATGGTTATCTGTGATGTGGTAGAGGAATTTTGTGTTTAGTATAATGAGTTCTACCTGCACACACACGAGTGTGTCAACAATTGTCAGATATCTTGTATAAAAAATGATGCTTTCCAGATGTTCTGCGTGTGATATCGGCCTATCCTCCTGGTACTTCGAGAAAGATGGTCTCCTATTTTGTAAAGACGACTACTGGGCTGCTTATGGCGAGGCATGTCAAGGCTGTGGCCAGATCATCACTGGTCCTGTTATGTTGGCAGGAGATCACAAATTTCACCCAGAATGTTTTGCCTGTACTTCTTGCGGTGCTTTTATCGGGGATGGCGAAAGTTACGCGCTGGTCGAACGCTCCAAATTGTACTGCGGGGTTTGCTATAAACGACAGATGCAACCGCTTAACAGGACAGCAAACTATCCATTCGCCAGGAAACCACATAGTATCAGGCTAGTCGAGATACCCCCTAGCACGACGGACCCGGATAAACAGAGAGGAATCAAGCTCACGTTGGACACAGCTCCCAGTCCTCGCAGCTGCGGCGCTTTGTTGCGCATCTCAGAGTATGTATGATAAAGTATATCACGATGTCTTAATGTATTTTATGATATCCTTATACTACTTATGCGTCAGAATTGGTCAACTGTGAGAGCGACGTTCGTTCCTAATATAAGTCAAGTTTTCCGGGTTCAGTTTAAGAATGGTGTAGATAGGTAGTCGTATTATCGTGTAAAATAAGAGTAAAACATTTGAATTTCTTTGTTCGCAATGATTTTACACTCTAGAACCCAATTGCTTCTCTAAAATACTTAACAGTGCATGATAGTCCTGTGATGATTATTTAAAAGTTGGTACAAAATACATATCAGCCTCTAATAACATTCAACTAAAACGCAGGTTAATGAGAAATGTTCGTGGAAAGATCAGTAAGCTGCTGGCCTCTGTGATGGAGGTTCTATTTAGGCTATGCTGCCACTTCTCTAATCATAGGTATTGCATAACAAATCAATAATACACACTATGTATTGCTAACTCTATAAACTATGTTCACATTTCAGTAATGATTACGTTAATCGCACGTGAACATATAAAATATACTTGTGCAATTTCTTGTTTACACTACATATATGTGTTGTTTACATTACATATATTATTTTGTATCACGTGCATGCTCAATGTAATTATCAAGAAGTGACAGCTTATGTTAGAATAAGCTTAGATAATTGTCGAAGGACTAATTCATTGCTTTCATACATATCGTGGGTTGTATAAATTATAGTATGTTATATATTTTTACTTTTCATTTTTCAAACGTACAATGAATTTGATGCAATTTAGTTTGCGATTTCGCCTCAAACCTTAATAATCAATTTAATATTATTACTCATAGCTATGCCTCGTGCTTTTCATGCTCCCTGATAACTCCCTATGTTTTTATCTTACAATTATAAATTTTATGTAAAATTATATCAATGTGTGTATATATAAAACAACTGATCAAAATATTTCAGAGATACACATCCTTATTTCATATTATAATTTCCCATTATCTTTTATGACGTTTTCCTGTTCATCCTTGTTATTAATGTTTCGAGTTTATGAATTATTCTGATAATCATATTATTGTCATGAGTATGGTATAATGTTTTTATGTGTATTATAGTAAAAAGAATATAGTGCATGCAAATGTTTGCATGTTTTATTGTTACGATGCTAACGATGATAAAAATATCCTATAAAATGAATGTTGCAGATTGAACATGTCCAGTGATCTTATATCGTTACACATTGGCGATCGGATCTTAGAAGTAAACGGTACTCCTGTTAAAGATCAGCCGGTGGAAAGTATCGAAAATCTTATACAGTATTCAGATACAGTTTTACAGGTAAATAATCAAACTATTTCTCAAATTATCGATGATATTGGATTAATCGCATTTATATTGGATACAAACGCGTTTAATGTTTAGCTGACTATCGAGCACGACCCAGATGCTGTGTCACGACGACCTACATTCTCTTCACCGTCCTCGACAATGTTAACATGCATCGGCAGTCCCAGAACGAGTCCCGAAGGCAAAGAGCGACTCTTTAAACGCCGCGACGAGGGTTACATCAGCGGTGCGCGAAGCCGACAATTACGAAGAACGAGAGATCCGATGCACAAAGAACGCAGCAGTTCCATGTCGCGATTGTTGGACGGGTGAGCCGATAAATATAGACTTTCGGCAGTCTAGCAACAAATTATGATGTGATCTACTAAATCGAATTCCGTTATCAGGTCTTCACCCATGAATCCAACTTGTGATCTGAGCCGTACTAGATCTTTTCGCGTAGAGCCAAAGAATCAGAGAATATTTCGTGCTAGCGATCTAGTGAAGGGCGAGCTTCTGGGCAAAGGATTTTTCGGACAAGTATTCAAAGTCACGCATCGCGACACGGATGAAGTGATGGTTCTCAAAGAATTATACAGAGTGGATGAGGATGCACAGAAGAACTTCTTAAAAGAGGTAAAATTTTCAAATGGAATACAATTTGTATCGATGTGTATTTAATGTATGCACACAATTGGAAATGCTGAAAGCTCGCGTCTTCTGGGCATTATAGTATTATATCCAACTTTCAGTCTTATGTATTATTTGGAAACAATTTAACAGGTTGCGGTTCTACGCTCGTTGCATCATAACAACGTTCTTCGATTTATCGGTGTTCTCTATAAGGACAAGAAACTACATTTGGTTACCGAATATATAGCGGGTGGCACGTTAAGGGCTCTGCTGCACGATACGAACGAACCGCTGCCGTGGGAACAGCGTACGTCTTTCGCGAAAGACATTGCTGCCGGCATGGCTTACTTGCATTCTATGAATATCATTCACCGCGACCTGAATTCGCACAACTGCCTCGTTCGCGAGGATAAGACTGTAGTAGTCGCCGATTTCGGTCTGGCGAGGATCATTCAGAATGGCAGTTCGCCGGACAGTCGCAAGTACAGCCGACATTCCGACGGGGAGGTGAAAACCACAAAAAAGGAGCGGAAGAAACGGTACACAGTCGTCGGGAATCCCTATTGGATGGCGCCCGAGATGATGAAGGGCAACAAATACGACGAGAAAGTGGATATATTTAGCTTCGGCATTGTCGTCTGCGAGATCATAGGCCGGGTTCAGGCAGATCCTGATTATCTACCCAGGTCGTCGGACTTTGGCTTGAATCAAAATGTTTTCAAGGAGAAGTTCTGCTCTAATTGCCCGGAGACATTTTACATGATCGCGTTTCTTTGCTGCGATTTAAATCCCGACAAAAGGCCACCTTTTGAAGTTATGGAAGTCTGGCTGGAGGGATTAGCGATGCATTTGTCGGTAGGTGCTGAATTACCGGCTGATTTGGACTACGACATTAGAAATTATAAAGGACCGAGTCCGAGCAGCAGCGAGTCCACGACTCCGGAAACTCTTGCGCCGCAATTGAGGCCTATCAAAGAGGGCCAAGTGCATCAAGAGAAAAAACGATCCAGCGGCTGCGACGACAGCACACTGGAACGTGAGGTAGAGCCTATACCGGGCAATGCGCAACGTGTACCCGACGTTGTAAGTCCGCGTGGCAGATACGCGAGGCAGAACAGCAAGACCAGCGACAATTCTGGCAATGTAGGACGTTATTCGAGACAAAATTCCAAATCGAAGGACCTCGTGCCGGATAAAGAGAAGCCTGACATTGTGATTTCCCCCGATTCCAGTGGTTTCAGCGGGCGGTATTTACGGAATAATGTCAAAATGAAAGATACATCTCCCGATATCCCAAATACATATGCTTATTTGAAGCAGGAAACATATCCGAGACAAATCGATTCGAGTGAGCACAATTTAACTCGAATACCCACGATAGAAAAAATTAAGTATGTGGGTTGTGCGAGCCCGTCCACTGTTTCCGACGCTCCAGAGTATATAATCGATAATAAAGGTTCGTATAAAATCAACAATAGTCTAAAACAAAAGTCGGCAGACAAATTTAACGATACGAGCGGTCACAAAATAAAGTCAGAGAGCAAATTCAAAATGCCGGACGCTGCGAGTTCCGTCAGCTCGTATTTGAGGCAAATCGGAAAATCTATCGGTGCTGTGGAGAAGGAAAATAAAGCGATCAATAACCGAAATGGTGTCAATTGTAGCGATACTGACTCGAAGAAAGTAGAAGGCACAAAGTCATCCACGGGGTACCTGCGAAGGACGAAAATATCACCTACCAAGGAGACATTAAAGAACAATGCCTTTTCTATCAAAGAGATCGCCAAAGACAAGGTCGATGCCATTTCATCGTTGCAGAAGACCACAGAGTCAAAAGTCCCATCGAACCAAAAGACAGTCGCAAGGAACGAAGATCTTAAAGGTAGACTATCTAGACAGGAAAGCAACGTATCCGATGTCGGCAGTATTTTGTCTAGGCAAGGAAGTCTCACGGTATTAGGTAGCTCTTCGAAATCCAAAGATGATACATACGAGGATTATTCGCCGTTCAACACCTTTGCAAAGGATGACTTTCGCAAGGACAACACCTTCAGAAAGCAAGGTACAGGCCTGTACCATACAGACAGCCTTTATTCCAATTCCAGCGTTTCAAAGCAGGATGACTTCATCATACCTAACAAACGAAACGCAAGTAATGATGGCGATTGCATCGTTGGAACCAAAGCGCTGGGTGATGCTTCGAAAAACCCGATCATGATTTCGAAGTCCGTTTATGGCGGTGACTTGAAAGCGATGCCGGACTGTTTGGCCGATTACACCGGGTGTTACAAGAGCGTCGATATATGCCGACAAGATAGCTTCGGTTCCGACAGCGCCGTCGGTACCATGAAGAGCGACTTCTTTACAGATGTCGATTTCGCACAGATGAGAGACGGCCGACACACACCGAATCTGTGCCATACCCCCGACAGATGCTGCACACCCAATCGCCCGACGTCGCCTATAGAGAGTACCGCTTTGTAGATGAAAGAAACATCTCTGCCCGCGGCAAGAAAAGGGTGAACAACATTCGGAATTTTACGGAACATCGAGATAACGTGCGTAATTCTCGACGAGATGTGAATCTCATGCTACTAATATGATCTCTATTCATAATGTTAAGGTTTGAACATGTAACGTGCTTAGTTTGCAGTATTAACTCTTTTTTTTAGGATTTACCTTGTCATCGTTATTTTTAGCGCGTTGAGCGACAAACTGAAATCGTATATTGACTTTTAGTATGATCGTGATGCGAAATTTGGATCGGAATCATCTCTTGAATGACATCCCCGAAAGGAAAGTTTTTCGACAATATATTTGTATTTTCTCGTTCCTTGTTGAAACTGCACTCAAAATACTCGAGAGTTAATGAAATGTGTAAAGAGCGAAAATTCAGACTTTGGAGCATTCCCGTTTGATAAATCGAATAATTGTCTCTTTAAAGTAAGTTACGATAACACCATAATCAGTATTAATGAATTTCGTTCGTTATCAGTTTATACGAATTTAGGCCGCAATGACGCATCGATCTTAGCTAGCCGTAAGCATTTTATTACATTCCTATGAGGTCTTGCCACGCGGTTTTTCAAAGTGGGAGTTTACACAATAAAGCGTGACTCCGCGACAAGAGCATTCCATCCAAAATACTACTTGTAACGCCGGGATTTTATATATATATATATGTACGGTATTATATGCTAACGCGTGCTCGAAAAAAACGGCACTGTGAATACGATTAATCGTGCGCAACTACAAATTTCAAAATCGTAGAATCAAAAGGAACCGTCAAAAGTCGAAGTACATGGTGCAAACAAATTTCCCTGGAAACATACATGACCACGTATGTTCTCTTTAAACTGTAAACACGTCACACAGCTTCAGTTCTTTTTGTAGAATAGAATGTAAAAATAGTACTATATCTCTGTTTTCGGATACATACATATAGATGTACATCACAGTGTAAAATATTGTATACGTTTGTACTACTGATGTACATATACAGATGATCTATATATATATATATACATATGTATGTATGTACAAATACGTGCATATAGATATATACATATACGTGCGACGCTTATATCCTCGTTGTCTGTCATAGTTTCCGATATATTTTGATAAAATGAAATCGCGTTTGTGTGTATGTTAAAGAGTTATGAGTTGTTTGCGTATCTTCTTCTTATCGAGAGATGTTAAACGTATGATCTTTTAACGAGGATATAAACGTCGGGGAAGTAGAAAATATCATTTGTATAGAGGCGACAAATTATTTGTATATAATTTTGTATATATCCAGATATTTGTGTAATTTTCGCGCGGAACATGCTGATCAGTGTTTAAGTAGAACTGAGTTCTATACTTGCGCCACGTAAAAGTATATAACTAGTTTCTCCCTACATGATCACAGATTCATTTCCTTGCCGTCTCTTTAACCGCATGTTGGCTCTATTTTATGACGTTTCGATAAATTTTTGTGCTTTTGTGTTTTTTCAGATGACATTCCAAGCAATAATTTTAATACTCATAATTCTCTGTCTCGTTTTTACTTTGTTTAGCGTTTGCTGATGCGACGCATGAAATGACGCAATCAATGAGATCTTTTCTTTACCAGGAAATAAATTTGTTTCGGGGAAGCACCTATATGCATTGGTTAAATATATTGTTTCTAAATAAATCTATTATTATCTAGAATGAAGGCATTCTCATATTATTTATTCGCATAACGCGCTTTGTGTAGTCTCGTGATCGTATATTTATCCTGAAAAACTGCACGTTCGATACGCGAAAGAGCCCGATCAAAGAGTATCAATTTTTATTTTTCCTCTCGTGTTTGTATAGAAAGGATATATACAGGAAACATATTGCTAAGCGTTACCGCAAAAGCTATCATGTAGATTAAAGATCATTACATAAATATATACGTCCATGTGTAGACGAGGACAATATGTGCAATAATTATATATGGCTTGCTATATGTATATGATAGAGCTAGTTTAAGAGGTTGTTCACGGCTTATTGTTACGATAGCGAGCTAGTTGACGAAGGTAGAGAACTTCGTATCATATGAAACAATATTGCGACGTGTTACGAAAAAAGAAAAAAAAACAAAACAAAGAAAAAAAGAAGAATATAAACTTTACGTTCTCACCGACAACGCGGGTAGCGCTACATACGGTCGTCTGATTCTGATTCTCTCTATTCCGACAATTATATTATTTGATGTAAATACGTGATGAGAAGAGGTTGGCGTCCGTATTTAGCGTTATGAACGAAGGAAGCACGACTGCGGGTCGGACAAACGAGTCGGACGCATGATCGGATAAACGGCGAAGAATATATAAAAAAATTGCATAATCGATTCTGTGCTTTCACCGCGGCCATCTTAATTAATGGCGTCAGAAGCGAGGAAACATACATCCAAGATCTTTGCCAAATACGTCGAAATAACAAGTTAATCTATAAAATGACACTTGTGATCAGTTGAGCACATTTGTAAAATATTTCGAAAACTTTGTTTTTACTCTGACAATAAATAAGTAACCGTAAAATTAACGTAACAAAATCACGAGGAAAGATAGATTAAAAAGGAAGATTGCATGTCACGTTAATTTTACGATTATTTATTGATTGGGGTAGAATGAAAGGAAAGTTTCCGGAATATTGTGCAAGTTTACTTAATCAATCCCAAAAATCACTTTATGAACATATCCTTTTATTTCAGTGTATTTCGCAAGAATTTTGGACATGTGTCTTCTCACTTCTAATGTCATCAAATGAGAGTTCCGTAGCGATTAACCAGGAGTCTTAATTTTTTAATTTAAAAATTACGTGAAAGAGCAAAGGAGACAGAGAGAGAGAAAAAGAAAGAGAGAGAGAGAGAGGGGGGGGAGAGGGGGAAATGGGATATCGTAATATGTCGCGGAGGACAGTATTACCGCTACTCACTGCATATTGTTGCTTAGTAGCTAACATACGTTTGCTATCGTACTCTTTAGCATACATAGCGGGCACAAAGATCGTGTTAAGACTTGTAAAGAGATATCTGTAACGAGTAGACGTTATTTTTATAGCTCCTGTAAATTTTCACGTCTTTTTCACAGCCGATACGATCAACGATAGATCGATATAAGCGATATCCAGTCATTAACGCATCGATTCGTTAACACGATCGAGGCTGTAATGGCAGGATACTCTATATAATCCCGGTTCTTGATATTTTCACTCTTCAGTTTGTAAATTGATTTGTTTATCGCAAATTCAACATAGTCTTGAACAAGTATTTTTTATAGAGCACTATAGAAAATCTAATATATCTAATTTTGTGTGTGTGTGTGTGAGTGTGTGCGACATTCTAATTTGATAGGAGGAATATTTTCATACAGTCAGTTACTTTTATCGGCCTAATTTCTCATAGAGTATTGGTGGTAATTATTGGATAAATAATTAATGATTGAAAGATTTTTCACACTTTGTAACTAATCGCGGATTATTTCGTTTGCATGACGATGCGGATGCGGAGATCCGATTTTTCACGTTATATTCGCAAAGTATTCGTTGTCTCATCACTAGTCGCGATCTTGGATCTCTATTGTGAACCTAATATTATAATACTCACACGTAATTAATGTCGATGCTATTGTTGTAAAAACACGAACGAGATATCGCGAAGTTACGCGAAACTAAAGTTGTCCAGATTGTTACATCTGACAGGAAGAGGGACGGTCTTGGTGATCTTCAGATGCATCCGTCGGTGCATACGAACTCGAAATTGCCAAACGGGATTCCTAAGCGAGAGCAATAATTGCGTTATTAAAATTAATATACACGAGATTGTATATATTCACGTTGTTCTTCTTTTTTCCTTTCACATGCTACACATATGTTGGAGCGAGCGAGATGAACGCGATTCCGAGCGATCAATTGAGCACGTCTGTGTTATCGCGACGTTTAGCGATGATTCAATGATTGCGAACTGATCTCGATGACGATTGTTTATAATATTTCGGCAAGCTACTTGCGAGCGGAGAACGAACGAAGAGATGTTTTTATATTATCTTTATCAACTTGTTGCTTGTAAAGTTTACGTATAAGTTTCCGCGCAGAGTTTTATGTGAAACAAATGTTTTATTTAACATTCCAATAACTCAGTGAGAGAAAAATAGAATAAACCGTTGACAGGATATGATGTACGCTTTTATTGTATCTACCTGATGTACATTTTCAGATATTCTGAGCTGCAGATATTCTATGCATCGCCAGAATTGGCATGAAAATATTAACTACCTTCTTTTTAGAACAATTTTCATATGTTTATATTATTTATTGAAAAGCATGGTGTGCCTCAATAGATTAATATTCTCTTCAATATTATTCTCGTTAACGGCGATAAAATATTATTAAAGACAAATGCTATTACAAAAATTTATGTAATTGCTAATATTTTGACGGTTAGTCTGTAATGCAATATTAAATATTTTCCTCTTCTTGATTGATAACGTCAGGAGCAAGAAAATACACGCTAAAAATTCCTGCAAAATACGTTGAAATGAAAAAATGTATCCATAAAATGACACTTGCGATTGATCAAGCAGGCTTGTAAAATAATCCAATACTTTCCTATTGTTCGAACAATCGATAAAGTAACCGTAAAATTAGTGTAACCTTACTCTTAAACCTATCTTCTTTCATGATATTATATTAATTTTACGGTTATTTATTGATTATTAGAATAAAAGGAAAATGTTTGGACTATTACGTACGGGTTTATTCATGCGATCGATCGCAAGAATCATTTTATTATTTTATTTCAACGTATTCTGCACAAATTTTTAATATATATTTTTTCATTTCTGATGTCATAAATCAAGATGATCGCGGCGATAGACCAGGAGATTTAAATTAATTTATTGTTAATTTATTTTATTGTTTAATTTACTGCTAAATACAGCCTTGATTTTTTGTTAAGGACAGTGGCGGTTCGTAGTGAAGATTGAAAATAACCGATAAAAAATAACGGGTCTAATCGTAACAGGTCATTTACCGACATTTAGCGGAGAACCGAATCATATTTAATCGACATTCAAACCAGAGAGAAGCCTGAGAGCGGCCACCAAACTAATTTTATTGGCCAGAGCTAGGCGCATTTTCGAGACGCCATCTAACAAAGTGCGCCTTTACTACGTTCGTTAGACGCATTATCGCGGTGGTAACGATAAAATGCGTCTGGTTCGTGCTCATTGTACTTCCGTACAATGATAGTAAGTTAGAAAAGGACAGAAGTTCAATCGCTTTATTCTTTGGTCTGTTCTTTCCAGCTGCATTGCTGAACTGATGCAATAAGTTAGAGTTAGAGTGAGAAAACATATATTTGTCTCACTTTAACTTATGCACTAGTTCAGCATGCAGCTGAAAAGAACAGACCACTTGTCTTATCATAAACTCTGAATTCCAACAGGATAAATTGTGGAGAACTTTGTTTTCTTTGAATCACATTAATATATTTTGTGGTTGCCGAGAAATAAGCAAAAAATATGAGCGGCATGTTTAAGCTTGTATATTTATTTATTGTTTTATATTATCCAGTTTCCAAATCTTTTTTTCTTGGAAAATTACGCAGAACGCAGTGCGAGAAAAACGAGACTGATGAGAAATGGGGTGCTTACGATAGCGAGTTCGGAACGAATGAGATCTGGATCCGGACAGAGTAGTATATGCTCCCATCTACAATTAATATATTCAATGGCTGCTCCTGCTCTACTCCCGTCCGTATCACACCGCAATTCGGAACAAGGAGTGGCGTATGGAGCAAGTCGTACAAACGTCAAGTACCCTTATAGAAATATCACACTAAGAATCATTGATAATTACTTATTTTCAGTATTAAAAATACTGGATAATAAGTAATTGTCAATGATTCTTAGTATGATATTTCTATAAGGGTTGTCAGATATAATAAAACATAATTTGAAATAATTTAATTGTGGTACGTATTAACGATAGAAGGCAATTTATTTAAAGTTTATCTTATATAATTTGTAATTCAATTCAATTTTTTTATATTAAAGATTGTTCTTAGTGAGATAATATTTGGTATATTATCTGTGATCACATTTATTTTTTTTTTATAATAGAGTTTCAATTTGATTTATTATCTAATTTTTAATTCCATAGGAATAAGCGCAGGTCCATTTTTATATACTTAATAATAATCTGTTCGGATCGAGATCTCACTCGCTCCGAACTCATTATCGTAAACACCATGATCTAGTTTTGCGATAATATCGCCATTAACTCATTTCGTGCCTAGTTGCGCGGTCTGCTCATCAGTGGTTAGACAAGAATAGAACGATTGGACTTCTATCTTTTTCTAACTTATTATCATTGTACAGAGTATAACAGGCACGAAACAGTTACATTTTATCGTTACCACTGCAATAATGCGCCTATCGAACTTAGTAAAGACACACTTTGTTAGATGGCGTCTCGAAAATACATCTAGCTCTGGCCACTAAAATCAGGCTGGTAGCCGCTCTTAGGCTTCTCTCTGCTCTAACCTGTTAATAGTCTTGTAGCGACACCGCTAGATGGCATCAGTCAGTCCGGTCGTCGCACTTTATTGAGTTTAGCAAATCAGCTATAATTCCAAACTGTAATTCCAAAATCTCCACTACGAGCCGCCACTGTTTCTATTGACAAGTCGTAGTCCTCTGTAAACCGACTTACTTTATTTTAAGGGGTGCGTTCAGATTCCCTACCCGGGTGCATTCTAATACTAAAAGTGCTATAGTATATGTAACATTTGCTATAATGTTTCTAGTAATAGAGTGTACCCGGATGAAAAATCTGAACGCAGCCATACAGTAAGGCTCAACTACAGTAAACTTTTATTCTTCAATAACATGATTATTTAATTATGAGGCAGATTTTGTTTTTATCTACTAATAAGAAATAGAAGTTTGAATGTAGCAAGCAAAACTTCTGAGAGATGGAAATTAAATATCGAAATATTCGATATAAATTTATTAGTTTTTTGTTATATAAATATATTTTTTCTCAAATATATTATTCTCCAAAGTATCGATATTCTTTGCATTTAACTAATTTAATTAATTCCCCGGCGATAATTTTCGCTAAATACCGATTAAATCAATCGACGATTAACCAGAATTATTAACAGTGCATCAACGATTACACAATTACACGTAATTTGCGGTTCAACAAATGTAAAAAAGTGAATAATTTCATGATAGAGCATTTCCATGATAGAGCAAAAAGAGTCAGGGAATGCTTAACTGATAATAACTTTACAGAGTGTAGAGAGTGTAAAGAGAGAACTTTCTTTTTCGTTTTAATAACTGTTGCTTGTATTTATAGTCAGGCCTTATATTTAAGGCTTCCTTAAGTTCATCTTCAGATGCTCTGTCCAATAAAATGATCCGTAGAGAATCTGAAGATGAACTTAAGGAGGCCTTAAATATAAGGCCTGACTATGAATACGGGTAAAAGTTTTATCTATCATGTTGACAACTCTGACGAAATTGTCAAACATCCGTTACATTAATCGTAGTGTCGTGAAAGTTATCGTGAGGGACGGAATCGTCCGATAGTTTCGCATTGGGAAAGTACACGAAGAATCCGGCGCAATCAAAATGATTTCGGGAATTGAGAGTGAAGACTCGTTCGCCGTGCAGAAGGCGGGTGTCGGTCGAGGAAATGCTTGTCCGTGCTTTCGCGCGAGGACGGAACGCGCGGTGCGGCGCGGCACGGCGCGCGAATAATTTGTCGCCGGCGGCGGCGGCGGCGGCGGCAGCGATGGGGACAGCAGGCAGGATGAGGAGAGTCACGGCGGGACACGGCGCGGCGTGGCGGCGTGGCGGCGGCGGCGGTGGCGGTGGCGGCGGCAGCGGCAGCGGCAATAAGAAGGTAAGGGAAAAACCGTTGGTTTCGAGCGCGGAAATTTATGGGTCGCGACGTGTCGACGGAAACCTTAAATTTTAACGTTCCTGTCGCGAGAGCGTCCGCGTTCGCAGTCGGGGTCGGTCCTTTTGCGTCGGATAAGGACCTAGGAAAGGGGGATTACGACACAGAGTACGCTGCGCCAGGCGCGGGGGTGGACGAGCCAGAAAGGGAGCAAGAGAGAGAGAGAGAGAGAGAGAGGGAGAGAGAGAGGGAGAGAGAGGGAAAGAGAGAAAGCGCTATTAGGGAGAGAAGGAGAGCGCTATCAGGGATGGTACGGAGAGAAGGGTGGATGAACCGGCGACGGTTGCGGGTTATAACGCGGTGCAGCTCGCGCGCGCGCGGGGCATCCGAATAAAATGATAATAAACCGCGCGTCGGTATATTCACCGCGGCGTGCGCGTTTCGTCGCTCCTAGCTCTCGCGTATTTTCAAGGACGGTGACGTCTTGACTCATCCAGGCCGACGACGACGACAATAATCATGTAAGATACCGTGGAGTCCTTTTCGAAATGAGATTCGGAGTAACTATGTAGGAGAGAATGTTTAATCGTTAGGTTAATTCACACCTTAGAAGAAAAGCGAAAAACAGAAAGACAGAAGCCAATCAGAACTCGCGCTCAGAAAAGCACAAACTATTTACCTGACTACCAACGCGAATTCTGAATAACTTCTGCTCAGATAGCACACGATATTCTACGAATATTCTGTGAATATAGAATATTAGAACGTCCTCTGAATGTCCCTAGAAGATTTGTGTTATTGGGTTGCTTCCCTGCTAAGGTGTGAATTCTTCCTTAGAGTATTGTGAGCGTATATATTTGTGTGTTAAATGTATATATTTGATATATATAAAATCGTCACTGTAGCCTTTGGGCATATAAAATAAAAGCGATCAGATAAGCGTCGGCTATATGAAGCGTTCAGCTTCACACTCTACTCTGTACTCCAAGAGTTAAAATAATCCAAAATAAATTTGGCGAATAAGCCATGATTAATTATAAGTACGTTTATTATTTACATATAAAAAATATTTACAGTCAGATACGTCAGATTATGAAAAAAAATATATAGAAAAAGATCATACATATGACGATGACAACGACGACGTTGAGCTTGCGTGTACGAAAAGAGCACTGGGTATATGGTGTCTTCGTCGATCGATCGTTGAGAAAATTTCCCGAGATGGTCCGTTGCATCGCCGACCCGATCTCTTATCTAACTT